CCTTGGGCAACGGCCTCCCAGACCTGACCGATATTTTGGGCAATGGTGTTCCTGATCTTGGTAACACCTTGGGCAACGTGGTTTCTGACCTTGGCAACACCTTGGGCAACGGCCTCCCAGACCTGACCGATATTTTGGGCAATGGTGTTCCTGATCTTGGTAACACCTTGGGCAACGTAGTTCCTGACCTCAGCACCACTCTGGGTAACACCTTGGGTAATGTGGTCCCTGATCTTGGCAACACTTTGGGCAATGTTCCTGATCTCGTTGGCACGCTTGGAGGCCTTGCCCCCGGCCTTGGTGATGCCCTCAGCAACTTGGGTAATGGTATCGACACCATCATCCCCATCATTGGAAACACTGTCCCCGATCTGAGCAATAGCTTGAACAACGCAGTTCCTGGCCTCGGAGATGTTATCAACAACCTGGGTAGCACCCTAACACCTGTCATCCCTGATCTGACCAATGCTCTCCCTACTTTGGGAAGTGCGCTTCTCGATCTCGCCAGCAACCCAGCAAGCAACCTGGGTCTGACCAACGCCCTTGCCAATATCCCCAACCTAAGCCTCCCTGAGCTGACCCTCCCCGATCTGACCCTGCCTTCGTTGGGTGTCCCTTCATTGAATGACATCAACATCGAACTCCAAACGCCTTCGCTTGCAGACCTCCTCGGAAACGTTGGTAGCCTCGCCAGCACTCCTAGTATTCCCACGCTACCAAACCTTCCATTGGTTTCGATCCCGGACACTACCTTGCCAAACCTCCTTCCGAGCCTCGGGCCTTCGCTTATTTCAAACATCGTTAGCAGCTTGGCTCCGTCAACTCCAAGCGTCCCCGCGAGCCCCTTGGCGGGCGCACTGGGCAACGTCGGCCAAGCCGCCGGCCAGATTGCGAGCCCACTCACTTCGGCATGCACTGGTATCCTTGGATCTCTTGCCTGCACCCTTGACGGTAAGAGCACACTGAACAACGTCGTCACCCAGACCGGCAATGCTCTGGGCACCGTCGGCAGCGCAGTTGGGGGTCTCCTCGGAAATCTTCTGAAGCCCGCTGCTACTACACCCAAGCTCTTCAGAATCTGATCAAGATGGAAATATTAAAGCATAGGAGTGAGATTTAAGGAGAACTAGGATGCCATGAGACCCTTCCTTCGACCCCTAGTGTAGCCGGCGCCCGAAATGACGCTGGCGGAGCAGGGCTAAAAGGGCTGCAGAAGTAGTGACTCTGCACAAGGTCATTCTGGGTTGGCTAGATTGAAGTATTAAGTTGTCTTTTTTCGTGTCCTGGCCTCAATACCTCCATGTAACAGTATTCCCCGTTCTTATTAGCTGGCTCTACTTTGTTTTGTTCTATATTTCTCTCTAGAACAGGTGGTAATTGAGGCTACAAGGCCTCGCTCCTTTGTTATTTGGGGAAGGGTAGTGGTAGTATTTAGAAAAGATGAGAGTAGTATCCTCATAATGTTAAGTTTGTTTTGTACACCAAACTACCTAGCTAACTCAACGTGACGACTCTTGCTCTTCTCTTCCCTCTGAGTCCAACTGGCACCTGGCATTTCTTTAATCCCTTCATTTCCAAGTTCCCTGGAAAGGCATGTTTTCTCTCTTCTGTCCACCTTAACTTCCCCTGCCACAGGACAGTATAAGCGGGAGGGGTAAGGAGACTGTTTCACGAGCGTGACAAGCAGCCGTGGTATAGCTCACCTTTATCAGGTTCGTACAGCTTCCCCAAACCGGCAGCTCAGTCAAAGCTAGTTTTAATTAAACTAAATGCCGGAGCCATGCTCGCAAGTCTGACGTAGATAAAGAACGCCTTACCCTCTGTCTCCACGTTGCAGTCGGACCACTACCTGCACCATCATGCAGGGGGTAGTCTCTGATCGACGAGAGCTGAACTGCCTTAAAACGCCTACAGGGGTGCGACCACTGCGAGTTTGTGTCATGCTGCTGGTAAAACAGGCTCTCGTGGCTGTGGTACAGACGGGACGAAGTCCATCCCGTCCGTCGTAGTTATGGATCGTTCACCCTTCTCAATTGAGTTGAAGGAGGCGGCCTCAGCGGACGGCAAGCGAGGATCCTTCAGACTCTATAGTGGACAATTGGTTACATTTCTGCCAGGCTCGACTCTAGAGGGATCCAGTTCAGCCCTGCAACAGGGGCAGAGATGGGCAATGCTCGCCGCCCGTGTTTCTCGGATTTTTCCTATCCCCACACATCCTGAAACTGCCTTGACGCCGCTAGAATCCGCGACCGTTATGCCTAATCTTCAGCTGAAAAATCGCCAAAGGGCCCGTATCGTCATCCAAACTTGAAGGATGGGCCAGCGAGCGGGTGTACCTGCATAGTGTGCCTCGTAAGAGTCCAGAGGAGTAACCATATGTGATGGGATGGTGTATATAAATGGGAGTTTGATCCCAACCTCGAAACCTCATCAACATTGACAGCTCAAGCCAACGCACCCTTCCCCAGGCTACATAGAACTCAAAGACTTGTAAAAGAATGCACTTCTCCTTTCTTCCCCTCCTCCTCCCCCTCGCCCTCGCGGCCGTCAACGAGCCCTGCTACGGCCCCTCCGGCCTCGCAGGCGTCTGCATCGCCAAATCAGACTGCACCGCGTCCGGCGGCACGACCACCACGGGCGCCTGTCCGGCCGACGGCGACAACATCCTCTGCTGCACCAAGACAAAATGCAAGGGCGACGCCTCGGCGTGCAACTGGACCTCGGACTGTGGCGGCACATCGGCGGCCAACCTGTGCCCCGGGCCGGGCCAGATGAAGTGCTGCAGCAAGGCCGGGAGCGTCTTCGGCGGGTACGCGGACGCCTCGATCATCCCGCCCGTGGGCGCGTGCCAGAAGGTGGCCGTGGACGGGGCCAGGACGGTCGTGGGCCAGTTCCCGGGGAGGGTGAGGGAGATTGGGTGCAAGAGGGACTGCGCGTGCCCGGGGGACTCGGAGCACTGCTGCGGGAAGGCGATTGACTTTATGATTTCGGATGGCGGCGGTGTAAGTCTTCACTCTATCTCCCCCCACGACGTGTAAGCTGATGAAGTCGGAACCTGTAGCAAGCGACTCTGTCTGGGGATGACATCGCCGAATGGGTCATGAACCACGCCTCTACCAACAATGTCAAGTATGTCATCTGGGGCCAGAAGATCTGGAACCCGTCGAGGGACAAGGTGACCGCCTGGAAGAACTGGCGCAGCATGGAGGACCGTAAGAGTATCACCCAGAACCACTGGTAGGCAGAAACCCCCTTTCCTCGATTGATATGCCGTCTTTGCTGATTCGGATTGCTCTGGATAGGGACCATGTACATGTCAGCTTCAACTAGGTTGACATTGCCGCTGCTGTTTGACTCAAAGAATGAATTGTATGAACAGACGAGCTTGGTATAAAAGAGATTTGATGGGTGAGATGAGGATAGTGTTGTGCAGAAGTACCTGTATATTACAGACAGCCAGACATGTTTGGCCTGGCTGACGACAGGTTCCGTCCGTCAGTCCTTTGAAGTTACTTATTTCACTAGCTGTTGTTTATATGTATGGCCACTCTCAATAACGGAAACGTCATACCCATTATGTCTTAGATAGCGTCATCCTCTTGCTCGGTCCAAGAAAGTAAACCACCATTATGATCCAAAAGCCTCGCTCACTAATTCGCCCTCGTCCGGCGTCACGGCCATCTCCAACAGCTCGTGCGCCGCCTCGACGATCTCGCTCTCAATACCGCTCTCCATCACCAGGTCTTCCTCGGCGAATGTCAGCCTCCCCAGTGCAATCAGATAGCGCTGGCTCCCTCCATGCGATGTAGATAGTTTCTGGCTGATGTTGACCACGTTGGCCGTATTCTGATCTGTGACGAGGGTGTGTAGCAGCATCACACACTGCGATATGATTCGAGTCAGCTGTGTTGATGATGTTGAGACTTCGACTAGGTCATCGTCGTCGTTGTCGGGGGAAACGAGCGTAGAGGATATGTCCTGGTCATAGAGATCATCAATCGCACCACTAAGGCAGGCGACAATCCGTGGGATAACATTATCGTGAGACGCGAGCTGCATTGCCCCAAAGGGATAGCGCGCAAATGCAATCAGGGTCCGTAGAGCAGCAATTCGAATCTTTCGTTTATCCTCGGGGGAGATATTGATGGATCGTGTTGATTCGACTAGCTTGATGGACACACGCTCCATGACAAAAGCAGCAACAAAGGGCGGTTCTCTCTCAGGTGTGATGGGGCCTATAGAGTCTGGAAGCGAGGATGTGGCAAGCAGGTCAAGGATAAGTATTACATCCTGCGGCAACTGCCTCGGTGTCAGGAGAACAGCCACAGTGTCCAGATTCAGATGTTGCCAAAAGTCGACAATCTTCGGCTGGAACCCACTCGCCTCCGGCATCTCCAATGTAAGAGAGGAAAGGGCGGTAATGTATAATAGCGTCAAGATCTTGGTGCTATCAATGTTCTGTGCGAGGGCCAGATATTCATCGCTCTTGGCGAGCTGCTCCTCAGGGAGCTTGTGCCGCAGCTCTGCCAGATTAAAGACGCTCGGTTGTGCACATGGCAGGAGTGCTGGGAGAATCAGGGGTGCGATATCAATCGTATGCAGCTGCAGAGTAAACTCGACGAGAGCAACGAGATACTTGATGGGTTCCCAGAATGAGTCTTCGACGCAGGCCCTCCACAGACCCGTGATTGTCTGCACAAAGTCCACGAGGAGCTGCATTGGCTGGTGACGATTGCCCATGGTAGGTAGTTTCCGGAATATCAATGTTGCCAGGGTCGTCGACGGGTCGGTAGGGAACGTATAACGGGAGAGGACATCAAATGTAGGAGGTTCGTCATGGAAGGCCGCATGATCAAGGATCAGCTGGAGAAACTCGAACGGGGCCTGGGGTATTTGGCTCTGGTCCTGTTTAGGTTGCGCCATTGGAGGGTCTGCTGGTGTCGCCGCATTTCCTTGGTCCATGGATGCGAGTGCTTCCTCCGTGTGCGTATCCAAGGCCATGACGGGGCTATCAACCATAGGCCGTTTCCTTTTCGCCTTTGTTGGTGTCCTCTCCCCCAGGTCAATGGCGATAGAGCCTGTGTGTCTGCCACGGCCCTGGCTTTTGCTAGGGCTCACCATCTCCACGTCCTCAAATCCATCTGCAAGCCCCCAGGTCTTGACAGCCTTCTTGGGCGTTGTGGCGACCCCTGCCTGCTTCCCGCGAGAGGCCACATCCTTTTGCTTGGCTCTCGAGTTGGCTTCCCTCATATCCTGCTGGAGAAACTCTAGCTCGGTGCTCGCAGACTTCTCAGCGGCCAATGCAAGCTTCTCGGCGGCGAGCGCCTCCTCCACCAGGCGTGCTTGGCGAGCTGCGTGCTCATCGTTGACTTTACGAAGACGAGCCACCTCGTCATAATGCTCCTGGTCTGCTTTGTTGGCCTTGGCGCGGATTATGGCAGCCTCGCCACGAGCAGCGTTCAGCTCGGACTCCAACGCCCGGACTCGCTGCTGCAACGCGGCGAATGCGTTGCCGTTTGGCTGGCCCTGCTGGGAAGAGGTGGGACGGCTCGGTGGCGGGATCGACGGTTTCGCGAACTGGCTCGACTGTAGCGGCCGATTGATACCGGGAGAAGGCTGCGGGAACTGAGGCCGCTGCAATGGCCCAGCACCAAGTCCAGCCTGCTGGCTGAGCCCTCCAACGCCGGGGTGCGCTTGACGCTGGGGAAGACCCGCGCCGCCCCGTCTCGCAGGGTCGATGGCATTATTCCATTGCGGACTCGGCCGGGGAGGAGCAGGGCGGCGGGCGTGCTGCCACTGCTGGAGGCTGCTCGTGATGGGGCGATGGCCAACGGGCTCGCCACCGTCGTTGATCACCTCGGAATGATCAAGGTCTTCGTCTTCGTCCCAGGCATACTCGTTGGTGGTGTGCTGGGGGGGTGCGGCAGGCTTCGTCAACAAGGGCTGGTCGGACCTCCGCGTTTGCGTCAACAGAAGGGCATTGTTCTCGAGTTCTTGAAGGGTGGAGTCGTTGAGATCATCCAGTATATCGTCGCCAAACTCGTCGTCGAGATCCATGCTTCATGGAGGTGGGTGTGTGCGCAAATGCATGGCTTCTCTACTCGATAGAAAGGAAGCAGAGGGGGTTTCGGCCGGCGTTAAAGAGAGGGAGCTGAAGGGATGTTTGTTGGTTGGCCCTTGCTTGTTTCTCTGTTGTAGTGAATTTCTGTTTACCATGTGGAGGATATTCACGGTTCATCCTGTCTCGGCGCGAAGAGAAGCCACAACCCCCACTTCGGTACTGGGGCGGTACTTTGCTGGGTTGTGGCGGCATTGGAGCCACCGGTGTGGCGCAGCAGCTCGAGAAAACCAATTGCTCTTGCCGCAAATAATCAGCCAGGGCACTGACATCACAACGCTGCACTGCGCTATCGTTTGAGCCACATGCTCAGCTATACTAGTTCGATTGGTTTCGGGTCCAGCCAAGGCCCAGTCGGTGCTCTGCTTGGTCCCGGTTTCCGTCATCGTCATCCGTCGTCCCGGTGCTACCCACCACCCTCGCCCATCTGCATGATGACACAGGGCGATGGTGGGCAACTTGGGCTGCCCCTCGTACGATTAATCGATAGACAATGGCCCCGCGAGGAGAAAATGAGCAGGCCCTAATGAGCAGAGGGCCTGCTCATCCGATATGATGTGATATACACAAGCAGCGAAGACCAGCTACCCTGCACCTGAATGGGAGAGTACATCCAAGGTACACGGAACAAGGCGTGGCTCGTGCTGGACGCTAGGCCCGATGCGGACTGCGCCTCACGCTCTGTCGTCAACCAGCACCCAACGTCCTGCTTTGCATGTGCCTGTGCGTTTGTGTGTGTGTGTGTCTCCGCCAGCTGCTGCGGACTTCTACGTACTCCAGGTAAGCCTAAGCTTGGCTCTCTGCTGGGGACGCTTGACGACACGACACCAGCCAGAAGCACCACCTCCTCCTCGGACTTCTCTTCCATTCCATCTATCTCCCCCAGCATCCGTCCATCCCGCAGACTTAATCATCCCTGGCCGTCACGTTCTGAATTGAGCCGTCGACGCCAATTCCGCCGCTTCCTCTCCTTACATCACTTCTCCTGCATCTTCCCACCACTCCGAGAGGGGCCCAGAATCCCCCAAAAAAGACACACGCTCCTCAACTCCCCCATAAAAAAAATAGCCCCCCCGAGCCAAGATCGAATATCCACAAGCCACAAGCCAACGGGCACGCGCGCATCCCCCTACCGAGAACTCGCACCCGATACCCTCTTTCTGCGGTTTCTGTCGTCCACAAACGAGCGATCCATTCTTCAGCGAGCTTCGATCCCATCTTGGCTACCTGCGATCGCGCGCTCGCAGCTTGAGCTCCCCAAACCCCGACTCAGCTCCCCCCGTCTTCCCAGAGCCTCCCATCTACCAGAATGGCCGGTTCCAAAGGCAAGAGGGGCGTCCGCTTCCCTCACCAGAAGGCGAATGGCCAGTCCGCTGGTTCGGACGGCCGCAGATCCAGCTTCAGCGACGTCAGCGACGATGGAACTCCCACCAAGCACCAGGCCCAGCTGTCCACCGTCCAAGAGGTGAGTGAGAAATCAATCTTGTTGACCATGACACCTCCAGAGTCCCGGTTTCTAACTAGTCGCTTCGTCAACTGCAGAAACCCCCCTCTCAGAAGGAGAAGAACGCAGAGTACGAGAAGAAAAAGGCCAACTTCTGGACGCGCACAGTCTGGACCTTCATCATGATCGCCGGCTTCTTCACTGCCTTGTTCATGGGCCACATCTACATCATCCTCGTCATTACCATTGTCCAGATCATCTCCTTCAAGGAGGTCATTGCAATCGCCAATATCCCCAGTCGAGCCCGCTCTCTCAACTCCACCAAGAACCTCAACTGGTACTGGCTCGCCACCACCATGTACTTCCTGTACGGAGAGACCGTCATCTACTACTTCAAGCACATCGTCCTGGTCGACAAGGTGCTTCTGCCTCTTGCTACCCACCATCGCTTCATTAGCTTTATTCTCTATGTCTTTGGTCAGTAAACTCACCCATTAAGATGGTCCCAGATCCCCCTCATTACCTCGACCTTGGTAGCTAACTCGAGCTCTACAATCTAGGTTTCGTCATCTTCGTCGCATCCCTCTCGGCCGGTCACTACAAATTCCAATTCACCAATTTCGCTTGGACACACATGGCTCTGTACCTCATTGTGTGCCAGGCGCATTTCATCATGAATAACGTTTTTGAGGGAATGATATGGTTCTTCCTTCCTGCTGCGCTCGTCATCACCAACGACATCTTTGCCTACGTCTGCGGTATCACATTCGGCCGCACGCAGCTCATCAAGCTCTCCCCCAAGAAGACTGTCGAGGGCTTCGTTGGTGCTTGGATCATGACTCTGGTCTGGGCTGTCCTGCTCGTCAACCTCATGATGCGCTCCAAATACTTCATCTGCCCTGTCAACGTGAGTTTGTCCCCGTCCTCTTCCAAGCTCAAGATCTGCGCATTGCCAGACAGGCACACCCAGATAGCATAGCTCCGTCGCTAACTTTAAACAACAGGACCTTGGCGCCAACATCTTTACTGGCCTCCAGTGCGACGTCAACCCTGTCTTCCTGCCCCACACCTACGAGCTTCCCCAGCTGTTCTTCCTCCCGCCGAATACCTCCTTCTCCGTCACGCTCGCCCCCATGCAGCTCCACGCCCTCGTCCTGGCCACATTCGCCTCTCTTATTGCTCCCTTCGGCGGCTTCTTCGCCTCGGGTCTCAAGCGCTCCTTCAAGATCAAGGACTTTGGCGACTCCATCCCCGGCCATGGTGGCATGACGGACCGCATGGACTGCCAGTTCATCATGGGCTTCTTCGCCTACGTCTACTACCACTCCTTCATCGAGACGCACCAGGTCCGTCTCGGCTCCGTCCTCGAGACCGCCATCACGAGCTTGACTGTCGAGGAGCAGGTCGAGCTCGTCAAGGGCATGGGTCGTTATCTCACCAATCAGGGCCTTGTCGCCGAAGATGTAAGTTCCCACCTCCAATGCCCGTCCCTGCCCGAGCCTGGGCCTCCCTATCCGGCAGCTCCAGCCTTTCTTGCACCATACCCCTTGTCATCCTTTTCCTTCTTGATCATCTCATCTCTCCCTTTGGTTGCCTCTGTTCAGCCCTTTTCCTACATAACCGACAGCCGCTAACCAAATTTCCAGTTCCTTCAATGTATCGATAACGCCTTCCCTCTAAAGCGATAGCCGCGACTTGTTCTTGTGCATTCTCATTCAGATTCAGCATAAACCGCATACAGACATGAATTTCAACTTTGGTCTTAAACTTATTTGTTTTATTTCCTCCCCTACTCTCTCTCTCTACCCTTCTCTCCTTGTCTTTTTATTATCACTACTTGTTTTTATCGCAACGTCTTCGGGACCAACTAACCTCCCGGATCCCCGGGCCGGTTATCAAGTGGTTTGGATCCCGCTGTAAAAGGAATAACTGGTGTCTCATAATGAATGGTCTGCTGTGACAAAATAAAAGTTCCCCCAAATAACGCTCTCACCCTTCCGACCTACCCACCCCCTCCCTCTTACCCTCTCACCCTCCCCATCTCCCCATCTCTACCGCGGGTCCCGCGCTTGTCATTCTTGGCCGCTGGCTGATGTACTAAAACCAATATCAATACGTTGAGCACCTGTATGTCTGCCGATTTACTGGCGCGGGTAGCGAGCCCCCAGTTCGGATGTAACTGAAAAAAAAAACACCAAGAAAGCAGACCATAAATGGATGACTAGAGACATGAATTCTCCTCGACCTTCAACGGCAGGCTAAAAATATATTATTAATTGTTTTTCAACTTCCGAGGCAAACCTCTCCACTCAAAAAGGCGCCCATGTGTAGTAGTTTCCAGTGTCAAATTAGTACTCTCCGGCAAGAGGTACTAATCATGACAAGCTTGTGCTGTTTTCCCGGGCGTGTCGCCTAATTAATCCATTGCTTTGCTACCAACCCCCTCGCCTGATCTTTCTTTTCTTGTCTGATCGATCTGTTGTGAACCTTAACCCAAGTTGAAGCGGGTCATGGTACACAATTTTATGCCCCAAAAAGCAAACCAAAAAGAACAAACTTTGCGTGTATAATCAATAAACCAATCGCACCCCATGGCTTACGCCCTCTCACAGTGCGAGAATCTTACAAGATGTTGGATTTCCAACCACCCTCGGATTCAAAGATCTTACCAACATCTTCGGCTACCCTGAGAAGGTGGCGATCGCGAAACCGCGGGGCCACAAGTGAAACTCCAACCGGCATGCCCGAAGGACCCTGGAAACCGGGGATGTTGACTACTGGAACATGGAGAGCCTGCGTTTACGTCAGTCATCGGTGTTACGGAGAGTGATTGTCTTTGGTCAAGCCTGGTGCGATATCACAGTAGGGGAGGATGGGGTAATGCAAGGTTTGTGACATAGCATCGCACTTACCGTCCAGTCAGCGCAAAAGACGGCGTCTCCAGTATATTCGAGGCCATAAGGAGCTTCGTCGACGGCACTTGGCGTGAGCACTGCGTCATATTGCGACGCAATGGCATCAAACTCGGGCCGCAAAGCAGCAATCCCGTCTTGCGCCGCCAGTGTTTGCTTCCTGGTGTATGCCGGCTTGTCAATAAATACGGCCAATGACTCATGAAGCTTGCTCCTTGCCACCCGGTGCTCTGGGAGGAACGTGGTAGCACCGTCTGTCTCCAGAACCGTCAAATACCAATCTGTCAATGGCTCGAAAGACGGTGGCAAGTCCAAATCCTCAACAATAGCGCCGTGAGCCTTCAACAAAGCCGCTGCCCTGGCAAGAGCCTGACGTGTGGCTTCGCTGGCCTTGTGCCAGTTGTTTGTCTTGCATAGGGCGAACTTGGCTCCCCGGATACCGTTGAAGGTGCTTGGCTCATCATCCTCAAGGCTAAAGATGTCGGCGAGAAGAACCAGGTCTGAGACGCTGCGGCCGTACCATCCCAGAGTGTCAAGTAACAGAGAATACAGTTTCTGGCCCTCGCGAGAAACGGCATTCCAGGTAGGCTTGATACAGTATATGCCATTGTAACTCGCTGGACGGATCGTCGAGCCCCCCGTCTGCGTAGCAAGGGCCACGGGGATCTGGCCGTCGGCAACGCCAGCAGCAGAGCCGGACGAAGAGCCTCCGGGGGATCGAATCTCGTGTGGGGAGTGTGGATTCATTGTCTTTGGGCCAATAGTGATGGCAGCAAACTCGGTAGTAACCGTCTTGCCTTTCAGAACAACCCTATTAGTAAAAAGCGTCCACCACGCCTGTCAGAGGAACCACCTACCAAAAATGAGAGCGCCAGCGTCACGGAGAATCATTATTGACGCAGAGTCGACCTGGGGGAAGCTCCCCTTGTAAATCTCAGAGTTGTGCTCCGTCGGCATATCTAAACCAGAGTTATCAGCACCAAAGAGATCATCACACGTCCGTGAGGCATCACCAGGACTCAAGTCCAGAGAAACCTACCCTTAGTGTAGATTGCGTCCTTCACTCCAATGGGGAGTCCATGTAAGGGGCCTCTCTCCTTTGCAGGAACTCTGTCCAAGGCTCTGGCCTGCTCCAAAACAAACGCTGGGTCAAGGTAGGCCCAGGCTTTGACCGCAGCATCATGAGCCTGGATGCGGTTGAGCAGAGCTCGTGCATACGCCTCCACGGTAAGGCTGCCTTCACGGATGCGCCGCAACGCCTCGCTGCCTGTGAGAACGTGGAGGGGTTCATGGCTACCATTGCCGTTGGTGGTTCCGTTGGCATGTTTTTCCACCTTGCCATTTAGATGGGCTAAGGGGACAACTGAAGGGACAGTCATGGTTTCGGTACAGGTCACCCCTCGGGGAATCGACTCTCGAGGGAAAGGTAGGGAGAAATGGGTTGTTGCTGTTGTTGCTCGGAGAGGAAAAAACCGGAGGTCTGTAAACCGCTCCTTAATAATATTTCTTTCCGTATTCTCAACGATAAAAGCAGGGAATAAATGGCCAGATGAAAACCCCTCAGATACCTAGAACTTAATGGACCCTTGGAACCGGGGGGAAGGGTGTCGGTGGATTCTCCCATGTGGACGTGGCAATACACGCTCTAAATACTCCGTAATCATGGCATTCGGGGACTGCATTACTGTGTTTGCAATGTAGGTATCGGTATCGCGCACGTTCGTTTGACACGAGGATTCCCGGGGGACCCTGGTCTTGCCCTCGACCCCTGCTGCATGTGCGAGGCACGTATGTACTCCGTACAGTTGATGCATGCCCTTTGCCGGGCATTAGTGGCAGCCAGGTCCTGCCCACACACCATCGTCGCTAGTAGAGGGAGGTAGCAATTGGTAGCGGCTGTAAGAGCAGTAGGGCGGGCTCAAGCGGGGGTTGCGCGATAATAGATCCCATTATGCTCCAGTCATTTTGCGAGAAAGTATATGCATGTCCATGTACCTATTATAGGTGCGAGGTCTAGAAACCAACCGCCTTTCTGGGTGACCACTTTGCTTGCCTTATTCGTCGCTTTCGCTCCCGGCGTCTTACGTTGGGTCATAGTCAAGTCAGTATGCATCTGTCATGCAGTTTCGTGAAACCAGGCATTGATCAAACTCCCAGGCTGTCCCTGATGCGATTGGCCAATAGCCAGCTTAGTCCAGTATGTGAGATGGAAATATCTACTGCACAACGTCTCACCCAAGAGTGGATGAAGGATAGTATCTGGCATGGGCGCGGGCGGCACGGGACGATGGCTAGTCGGCTAGAATAGGTCGGATTGATACCTCTAGAGATCGATCTAGCGGTGAGAAGCGCACGCAAAGGAAACATGATCCATCTTGCGCGGCTGGAACCTTTGGATGCGGGCTACTTGATCGGCGCATCCTGGGCATATGTGGCGGCATCGAGCTACGTACATGGTGCCCACGTCGGGCACATGTTTAGATGCATACTTGGTGGATATGGCTTTCCGGGCAGAGCCCGTACCTTGGTCTCGGGGCGTGTGAAGGGGTTTAGCGTCTCCATTGGTCACCTAGCAGACATAGTGATTCTGTCACGGGACGGGGTCGGCCAGGGGGGAGGGCTCTTTTGCCTATGTCCGAGCTGAAAAGATCTCCGCCGCCCACTGACACTCGCAAAGGCCGATCAAAGACTGCCAAGGCGAGCCAGGCGAGTTGGCAGCCTTTTAGGCATCATAGGATATTTTGGTGCAAATGTTTGGCCGAGATAGGCGACAAATAAAATAGCCGGAACGATGCCGCAGAAGCAACTTGTGTGTAGCGCGGCTGCCAAATTCGTCCAACTGCATCTCGGGGAAGACTTCCAGGAGGCGGTATGATAGTCCAATGATGAATGCGCGCGCGGAAGGGGCTATGGGTGGTCGATCCGGAGTATTTGATATCACTGGGATGGATGAGTGACATCAAGTCACCGTAGTGGGAAAAAGAAAGCACACGAAAAAGAAAAACCACGATGGTTTCTCAAGAGGCCAACTTCTAGACCCGCAAACAACTCCAGGCCCATCAAGCAAAGGCCAAGGCCTGACATCAGAGAAGCAGTTTTGGGCATCAGCGTGATGCAACGGCATAATTCGATTGACGCGCAGTCATCGTGATTCGGTCAAAAAATGCGAAGTCGATTGGAGGAGGTGTGGATTTTGAGTGGCCAGCCAAGTTCCAGCCCAGTACCCTGCTTGCCTGCCAGGCCAGGAAGCACAAGGTTTAGTAGTCCGGGGCACTAAAGACCAAGAACAAACGCCTTTATGGCGGTGTGAAGAAGCAGCCTGCCGGCTCCTCGACCTGTCGTACCGGCTATAGCATACCAGATATTGTAAGCCGGAAGGACCATTCTCAATGACTGGGAAGGGAAGCGGGTTGACGTGATGAAGCATCGTAGGGTGGCTCCCGTGGCTGCATAAACCGTGGACGACCGGTGAGAAAGAAATGAGATGACTGCACTCAGCAAGTCGTCATCCCGACGTGGCCGCAGGAGTGGTTGCCTCCATCTCTAAGCCATCAATATATCATGCGGGCGAAGTTGAGCCGGCGGTATACGCGCATGTGGGCCATAGTCCTCGTTGTACAGAAAAGTTGGAAGGGACGGAAAAGTTGGACAGATGTTGCCGCCAAGAGCGCGAAAATAGACGGCATGGGAGGAAATTCTCATGAGCATCGTCACCCCCAAACGAGCGGTGGGCGGACCATCTTCCATCATGCGGTCGAAAGTATCGATACATAACTACCTGGCCCAACAAAAGCCGACCTCGTCGACCGGTGAATCTGGCTTGGGTAGGAATCGTGTGCAACAGCATGCACGTGAGCGCGCGAGAGCGTTGGATCGTACATCTGATTGGGGGAGCATGGTCACATCGGCCACTGCTTGCTCAGCCGCTCGACGCATCAGAGAGGAGAGTTTCAAATGGCGATGGTGGCGTCTGGGCTCCTTGGAAAACGCTGATCTCCAGCCGGCAGGCATGCGATAAATCCCAGGTTAGGGAAGCGGGCACTCGGTCAAGATGCAGGACGAGCCGAGACTTTGAGGGCGGAAATGGCTTCATGCATGGGCACATCAGATTGGGCGCGCATTCGTGCATTTTCGTTGCAGGCCGTGGCGAGATGGGCGTGCCGCGTGCTCGCGAGTGTGAGGGGTCGAGAAAGGACAGAAATCTAGATCATGACACCAATATCTGAAGTGGCACTGGGGAGAGACATGGAAGGAGCCAATTACGACAGAGGTGCGACGACAGCTACGGTTGTGCGTGATGCAGCAAGAACTCGGGCAGTCCTGCGCGACTCCTTCTCTGTTTCTGAGCTGGACATACCCGACCAGCAAGTGCAACAGCCCAAACATAGAAAGCGTAGCCCAAGTGCCCAGGGTAGGTAAGTTACCGGGTGCGCATGACGGGGTGTCTGATTGCTGAGTAGGTTGGCATCGTGCTAATCATGGCTTGATGGATGTGCAATATCGTCCAAGTTCTAGTTCGCTCTCATGATGGTGTCGAACTCCCAACATTCTTTACCTAGGTACCTACCTAGGTAGGTAAGTATCGAGCTGGAGGGCAATGACGCTGGGTGGGGATCTAGGGTAGGTAGGGAGACATCAGAATGAGGCCAGCCCGGAATTTTCTCGGCTCCAGAAATCCACCCCGCTCCATCCAGCCCCAGCGACTGCCGAGCTGCCTTGAACGTCACTCTCCCCTGGAAAAATTTTTGAGAGGTGCCACCAAGCTGCCCTGACCTTGAAGCTGTCACCACTTTGAGCCCACTCCGCTCCCTTGCCTTCCCAGTATCAATTGAAGCTGCCAGAGTAAGTTGCAAAAACATTGGAACCCACCTTCCTCTTTCTCCAGCTCGACCTGCATTACCAGCCAAGCTCATCCCCCTCCCAACGCCCCACTTGCCGTCGCACAGCATTCGGGACGCTGCTGTAATTTTACGGTTGCTCACTGCTTGTTGGCGCTGACCACTGACCATTGCCCGCTGACCAGCCACTGACTGGAGCTGCCGCTAGGGCCTGTGTCGTTTCCGCTTCCGCTTTTGCAAATTTGCCCCTCTATTTCGAGCTTGCTCCACGCGGTTGCTTCCCGCATCTAGATTATCCCCTCCTTTTGGACGTCTAGATGCATCCCTTGTCTCCTCTCCGACCAGGATCATCAGCATCGCTATCCTCCCTGCGTTCTGTGTTAAAGCACGCCTCAAGACAGTACGCTCCTCTCCGTGCATCACCAATTACAGGATTTCGACAGCCGTCTATTTCCCTCCCGGCCGCGCGACTCTACTGCTCCTCGAACAAGCCTCCCAACTCGTCTGCTGCCAGCTTCCAATCCACCGACTGCTCCCTGCCCAGCACCCAGCGAACCCACACCATGGATCATCAGGAAGTCATCAAGTACCTCCAGCAGAGCCACGACCGCATCTTTGAGAACAACAAGAAATGGGCCGAGCAGAAGCAGAAGAGCGACCCCGAGTACTTTTCTCGTCTCGCCTCGGGCCAGACTCCAGAGTACCTATGGATTGGCTGCAGCGACTCGCGAATCCCCGCCGAGCAGATTACCGGTCTTGAGCCCGGCGAGACATTCGTCCACCGCAACATTGCCAACCTCGTCGTCAACACCGACCTCAATGTCATGAGCGTCATCAACTACGCCGTGCGCCACCTCGGCGTCAAGCACATTGTGGTGTGCGGCCACTACGGCTGCGGCGGCGTCAAGGCCGCCATGACACCCAAGGACCTCGGCCTCCTCAACCCCTGGCTGCGAAACATTCGTGATGTTTATCGACTTCACGAGGACGAGCTCGACGCCATCCCGGATGAGAACAAGAGGTACGACCGCCTCGTCGAGCTCAACGTCCTCGAGCAGTGCCGCAACATCATCAAGACGGCCGCCGTCCAGCAGTCCTTTGCCAAGAACGAGTTCCCCGTTGTCCACGGCTGGGTGTTCAACTTCCATGACGGTCTCCTCAAGGACCTGAAGATCGATTTTGAGGAGATGCTGCATAAGATCCAGAAGATCTACAACCTCACTGAATAGGGTGATGCCCTCGATCAAAGCCAATTGAGTGGCGGCGTATAAGGAAAGAGGTGGAACACGGGGCGTTAGATGGAGGAACTTGAATATAGTAAAAAAATACGTTTCGCGGGTTGAGCACCCTGATGGATTGAACCTGCTCGTGAAAACCCCACCAGTGCCATGCCCTTCTCTCCCCGTAGATTTGATTCTCTTTTGCCCGCCAACCTGCCAAGCCGCCGTCGTCCTCCGTTAGTATCATTGGCCTTGCCCGTCCTGTTCCTGCATCGAGCCATGGAACCCTGCGCCAATCAACAACCCCAGGCGAGCACACGGAGGTTGCGCCAGATGACCATGTTGCTGCAGGTACAACTTTCATGCAAGCTGCCTGGGATCTCCCGGTCAGATTGAGCCTGCCCGGTGCGGGGGTGGGTTCGAGAACACACCGACCCTTGCCAGATCTGTTCCCGCGAGGCATCAAAGCTTCCATGCCACGAGTAATGCTAGTCTCTTTCCTGGCCACGCTTCCTTCCCGCTGCCGCTGTTTTATCCCTATTCTTATTTTCTCCGCCCCCCGTACTCGTTGGTGTGATCGGTCGGGGAGGGCGACCGGTGGACCGATGGGGTTCCGAAGTGGCCCCTTGGCCGCCACAACCAACCACATGATTCACCTTTGTTCGTTCTGTTAGAAAAAAGTCACAAAAATCACGCCTTTGAAATAATGGAATATAGGTAGTTACAGCCTTCTCTGAATACATCGCGGAACGTCGTCTTCATTGGATGCCCAGATGCTGTGGGCCTTCCTCCCGATCTACTGTATGTCCAATGCAAGTGGGTGACATCGAAATGAAGACACTCAAATACAAAGCTGCCTATTTTCAAGCCTGCAAGCAGAATTATCAAATTATTGAGTACTAATAATACTACTTGAGAGACAATGCAGCATATATTATTACGCTATTTCTTTCTATACTAACGTATTTCTTTATTCGTCGCGGAAAGTAATCTGTTTATAACCACTCTTCCATTAAGTGTCTCATTTCCCCAGTCGCCCACTTGCGGTGCTCTGCTCCCAGCCTACATTTATACCCCGGAAAGCCAAGAGAGATGCATGCTCCAATAGCGGAAGCAAGGTGGTAATGCGATTGAGAAAATAGAGGGCGGAATTCTCTAGACATGTAGAAGATTGGAGCTCTCCCTTCTCACTTTAACGCGCTCCTACCTCCGAGGGGATGAGGGAGCTGCTTGCACCAATGCCGTGAATAATTTTTACCAGCCTGCCTCCTTGCCTGAGTTCTGCAAGGTCTCATCCCACCTGTACATGATACTTGATACTTCCTGTAAAGTATCATTCCATAAGTCACCGTGGTGGTGTGAAGATGCGATGGATCCCGGACGATTTGATGCTCCCTGCTGATCGTTACAGCCCTGGCCCAGAAGATCTCGCCAAATGTGATAGATCTCGATTGATATTCAGGCACATCACGGTTTATCCCGCCAAACTTAGAGGTCCTCGGCTTTACACCCCTCGGGTGTCGAATTTGGACTACGATGGCAGAGTTGCAATCCCGTGTAAACGCAGCACCGCTCATTAATTACAACTCTGGGACTGTGTGAAATAAAGACAGAACAGGCTAACCCCCTACGCTCTCTTTCAATACTTTTTTCTATACTATTGGGCGTGATCAAATATACCTTTGCCAATACCGAGTCTAGGGTACAAGAATCCCCTCCGTGCCTTGACATTTGAGAGCTCCACGAGCACAGACAATTGTTATCGCATTGCCTTCGCCTATCGACAATATCCAAGCCATTGACATGCCGTATTGGGGAATAAAGGCTTCAACGGTGACCGCCGAGCCGCCCGTGAGCGTCTCCTGAACAGACCCTTGGCTCTCCGACCCCGGCGATGCAAAAGTTGAGATGAAAGGCGAGGCGCATGGCCCCAGACCAGGGGGTGACCTCGTCAAACGAGGAGGTGTGGCACTCCATCGCGACCCCCAGGTCCGTTGCGCCTGCGGGCAACCCGTTTAGTACGTCTACATGCTACGTAAACCTGACAAGGCGTCGGGCAATTTGACCTGTCAACTGCTCAAGGCTGGCGCATAAGGAAATTTATGACCACCGCCACCCCCCTCCCCTGACGTTAAGGCCTAGCTTGCTTCCCTGGTCTGGCGCATGTATCTCCATGTATCGTTTCGTACCGTTCCCACCGTGGAGTGGGAGCGTTGCAATCTGAGATGCTTCCTGCAGGGTCGATGGCTTGCATATTGGGGAAGGGGGTCCTGCCGATCCAAGGAAAAAGCAACTACACGCTCAATCAGAGCGTCGAGATTGGAAAATATTTTGCCCTCTCCCCACGAGGAGCAAACAGCGGTCTGCAACTTCATCTTGATCCGGTCTGTCTGGCGGTAGGCGAGACCTTGGCCGCAGCAAGTATGGCACCGCTTTCGTTTCCTTGGCACACTTGTTCATACATCATTTGCTCCAAAAACCCGACGATAATTGGACAGGCTGTGGAGCCCTTCCAATATAATACAAGTGAACCCAAAGCTGAGTCCCTCTGTAAGCCAAGGGGGGCCCACTGCGGTGAAAACCGTTGAATCTCGATGGGACAGCTCACGAGTTGGAATCCTGTCCTGGAGGAAGGGGTACGACTCGGGTCGCAAGGGCTTGTTGGGTGGAATGGCATGCCCACACCCTGGTCGGGATTCACGTCTTCTGGGATGCAAAGCCATGAGCACCGAGCAGAGGCTGGCCTTTGATGGACGCTCGGTCCTCTAGATAGTTTGAGACACGGCATCTCACTTACACGCATCTCCAGACCTGAACAAGGATAACGATCTTCTCAAATTATCCAAAGGTCCCTTGTCCCGTGTGCCTGTCACTAGACTGGGCAGTCTTTCGGCCGCTAGGTACGGGTAGATTGGCGAAGTCGTTGACCTCATCGCTCCATAGCATGCCTGTCTCGCAATCCCAACCTACCAATACGGCAGCAATGTTCAGTCTGTGGATAGGGAAATGTGACGGTGGAGAGCCTTGGCGCTGATGCAAGCTCCGTGATTGATCACACGGCGTGGCATTTCTCCGTCTTGGACGCTACGCAACTTGATGCTGGACACGGTGGGACCGACCTCCTCGGATGGTGTGGGCAGGGCCGGAGGAGAGAAGACCGGCCGGACGGAGAGATGCTCTGGAGAGTGCGGCTGATCTAATAAGAAGCGCTCCCTATGCCATGGACGGAGGTAGCTGGCTTGCCCATATACTATTAGTATATTACTGACTCTTATCGCACGCTGAGAAGCTGCCAACGGGAGGCAATCGAATTTCAAAGGGGACCCGGTCGCAATGAGGGATCTTCTCTCGTTGGTCGTGCTGACTGCGCACACGGATGACACGGGATTTGACTTGTCGCATCGCATCACATGCAGTGTTCCTCATGCATTCAATTGACTCTGTTGGTGCTGGGTTGGTGCTGTGTGCGTGGTATTGCATCTGATCCCAGGGCCAGCTGAGTGGATGCAACCCCTTCCCTTCTAGTCGATCGATATGGTCTGGCCATATTACTCGCAGTATCAGGCTGGGCTATCTCTAGGTGAGAAGAGAACGCCTTGGGATGTGGATGTCCCGCAAATAAATCAATAGTGTCGCGAGTCTGGACGGTTCTAGGTTGGTCTCTATGCCTAATGCGAGCCTGGGCGGGTGGCTTCGAGACTCAGGTGCAGCGTGGCGCATGCATCGTATAAACGAGACGAGGTGTCATATTGTCTTGGCTGGCGCTCTCTGGTCTTTCTCGCCATCGCATTGTCGTCAAGGGAAAAGAAAAACTGATCGATCGCGGCCCGATGTCGAGCCTGTTCAAGAAAGCCAAGAGCGGGGTCAAGGTTGCGTACAAGGAGGCCTACAAGGAGGTCAACGGCGTCGTGCAGCAGGGCCAGCAGAAATGGGCCCAGCACCAGCAGCAGCAGCAACCACAGGCGCAACCGCAGGCACAACAACAGCAGCAGCCAGGCGGCCAGTACGGCAACACCCAGTCCGGTGATCAGTACAGCCAATATGGCCAGTACCAACAGCCGGCAGGTGCCCAGCAGCAGCAGTACGACCCCTACGGCCAGCCGCCAGACCCGAATGCGACCTTCCAGCAGCAGCAACCACAAGCTACCCCGCCATCCGCCCAGTATTACCATCCCGACCAGCCTCAGCAAGAGCTCGAGGACTATGCGCCACCGCCCGGTCCGCCGCCTTCCCATCCCTCCTTTGCCCAGCAGGACCAGTACTCTACCTACCAGGCACCGCCTGAACCACCGCAACAGCAGCAGACCTACCAAACCCTTCCCTCGCCGTCAGCTCCTGCTCCGCTCAACACCTTTGCGCCGCAATCCCCTCCTCCGGTTGAGCCCCTCCAGCCTTCACCTATTCCGCCCGCTCAACAAGATCCGCTCGCGTCTAAGCTAGAGTCGCTTACCCTCCAGCAACCTCCCATCCATCAGTCTCCAGCGCTTGAGAAACAACTACCTACTTCCCCGACTTTCTCTCCCGAACCCACGCCGTCTGCGCAGCCCGCCCAGTCCCCGACCACATCCCGATCCCACGAGCTCCCACCACCGACATTGTCAAAACCGAGCCATGGCTGTCTGGCGTTGCTCGCCGTGATGGTGGAGGCCAATCCTCCCTATGTCCTCCACCCACAGACGCGCGCCGAACTCGGCATCGAAGAGCTCGACCTCGCCGTTTGCGCCAACTGCTTCGCTGCCCATGTTGCGCCTTATCCCAGCCTGGCTCCCTACTTCATCCTCTACCAGTCGCCCCCCCGTGATCCGAACAGCCGCGCGCGGATGAGTTACTCCAGATACACTTGCGATCTTGGCATCCCTCGCGGTCTACAGACTGTACGTCAATGCGCGGCCCAGAACAATATCCAGCCCTTGCTAGGGTTGCCTCAGGTGCTGTCAAAGTTCCAGGACTGTATGGGTGTGTTGAAGCCCTCTACGGAAGGCATGTGGACGGTCCAGGAGGACAATGAGTGCGGCTTATGCCACGCATGCTACGAGCTGCACGTCCGTTCCACCCCATTCGAGCGACACTTTTACTTCAAGAATGGCACCAGTACGGAGACAGAGTCGCAATGGGCTTGTGACCTCGGCCTTGGTGGTGCGGTTGGCCGCATGCTTACAAAGGAACTCCGGTCTCCTTCCCCCGACTATCGTCGCTGGGTGTCCATCTCCATTGCGCGCCACTCCTTGCCATTCTCATGTCCTGGAGAAGGCATTGCGCTCACCGAGACCCAGAGCGATCTCGTGTATGCCGCTAAGGCTCCTGATATTGGTATTTTCTGTCGCTCTTGCTATTACGACCATGTCTTGGGCACGCCTCTGGAGAGCGTCTGCCACGAGATCCAGCTTCCTCCCGAACAGTTAGCTACTACTGCCTGTAATTTAGCCAGTAGCTTCTCTCAGTTCGCCATGAGAATTGCAGTCAGGCGAGGTGACTTCTCTGTCTGGACCAAGGCCGTCGAGATTCAGCCCAAAGTACCTGCCTGTGTCGGGCTTATTGGTGTCGACGAGGCAGAGCTGCGCTCTCCTCAGGAATTTCACTGGTACAAGTTGCGCGCCCACCCAAACATCGAAATCTGCCCGTCTTGCTACCACATATGCATCCAAGTGTTTGGTATGGATAACCTCTTTGAGCGTCTAGACAGGCCACTTGTCGATGGGCTTGTCCGTCAGTGTTTCCTGACGCTCGTTGTTGAAGACGATGATCACAGCGTGGACGACATCAACAGCTTCACCAGCACGGTCTCATGGCGTGGTAAGGTCCTCCGGGACGGCATCGCTTTCAATAGCGTATCATATGGTGACATCCGTCCCTTCAATGCCTACGCCGAACTGATCGCTGCGATGCCGCCCCCTTGCTTCATGAACTCTCGGGTATGCCTGCCTGCGAACAACAGACAGTACCTGGGCCACTCGGCCAACCCAGACGACCCCGACGATTTCCACTTCGCCGTGTGTGCCGAGTGCTTCGCCAACCACGTCAAAGGCACCGACCTCGAGTACATGATGACGGATAAGACTGCCGCCGTCAATGCCCTTCCAGAAGGCTTCGTCTGCCAGTCTCATACCCTGCGGGTACGGCGCGTCCTCAGCGAAGCCATGACCCGAGGGGACTGGGAGCACTTTGCCCAGTACTGGCGGAAGAGGCAGGAGGTATTCCAGAGGTTCCTGGCTGCCAAGGCACGCTACGACGCCCAGATGCAGAAGCAGCTGGCCATGAAGGCGCAGGCAGATATGCAGGGCCAGATGATGGCCATCAACCTGATGCAAAGCCTCAATGCTAACCAGAATGCCATCATCTCTGGCATCGGCGGATCCGTGGCCGAGGCTGCCGCGAGTGATAATGGCCAGCGGTTTGGAAACTCATCGGTAAGTTTATCCAGCTCATGTCTTTTTCCGCGATATGAGCGTCCGCCTCTTTCTTAGGGCATCGGACATGCACTGTATATTAGTGAATTATTTGCTAACGGATTGTGAATAGGTCGGTCACGGATATCTGACAGCCAATGGTGCGAGGGCTGCAATGGACCAGCAGCAGGCACTCCAGTTTGCGGCTCAGTTGCCGGTCAAGGACATGAGTCTATACCAGGATAGCGGGAACACGATATCGGACAGCTATGTCATCCAGGCTATTTGGGATGACGTGAAGAAGGAATGGGAAGCCTTCCAGTAAATATTACGTGTAACTTAGTTCTCTGTGTGCGATGCTGCTATTAGATATGACGGTCTATGATGAGGAATGTAATGAAATTCTTTTCATGAAGCTGATGCATCCTTTTTCAATGATCTATGACGGAAGATAGGTTCCGTTCTGACGAGAGTCTTTGGAACATGGCCGAGGGTCAAACGGCATATAGTCATTGATTGAGCTCTGCGTAATATCGCACAAGGTAGTATATTTACATCCAGCCCTGCCCCAGCGTCCTGGTTGTTGGTTCGCTCAGCGTGAAGACTTGATTGATCATCACATGCCAAATGGGTGATAGGAGAAATGAGACACCTAATGGAGCAGTGGTAATAAACAGGCTACCTTCTACAATACTTGGAGAAATTCTGTAGGAAATATAAACAAAACAAAGGGGACAATATCCGCTATATTATCTCTGAGGTATGCACTATTAGCACTCAATAGTCTGATAATGCCGGTCGCAGACTCGAAAATAAGCAGCTTAAAGTCTGAGCCTCTCAATTCCAATGTCACCCACTTGATGTATATTGTAGATCTCTCAAGTGTCATTGCCCTAGAGTTGTAGCTTCACATTTCAACGTGGATAACGGCATAAACACGGACAATCCCACTCTAAGAACAGCCCAAGAAGCGAGATATTCTACAACAACGTCACCAAGTCCGACGATGAACAGCTCTTCTCCCAGGGGGTGACCATCCAAGCCCGCGACTTCTGGAACAGCATCAGCTTCTGCACGAGGCGCAGCTTTCTGAGCAAGCTCGAATCATCGATGCAAACAGCATGACAAATTCACGGGAGGGACTCCCATTACTGTTCAGAGTCTGCCCCAGGAAAACTGTCGAAAGAAGAGACGCAACTGTCTCCTCAGCCACTCTACGAAACCGACTATTCGGAGTAATACAACATCCCTGTCATCTGTAGCGTATAACAGTTGCCGTAGAGCCAAACAAACACTAGGTTTATTGAGATACAAGCCTTTCAATCCATGTCAGCCTCTGCTTTTTCCTCAATCCCACACCCCTATCTAACTTGGCATCTACTTAAGAACCAAGATGAGATGTCATGAGTGTGCAGTCTGACTCGGAACTCCCCTCCGCCAAGCACACGGCGCGAGTACGCCGAGACGGAGAAGACGGAGAGGCAGGTCTGCACCTGGATGACCGCCCACGAACGCCTGGGGAAGCATCTCCCCCGATTCCCCACAAGACCTCGACGCAACGCCGGATCATCGCCAAGACACACACCATGGGTGCAGGGAGGCTCGAGATGTGGCGAGGTGGAGGCTCTGCCGCCGCAGATCCAGCCCATTAACGGGATGTGCTCCGGCCGGCTCGGTGTCTTTTGAGCGGAGGAGGCCCGCACATGAGATGAGATGGACGGCGTTCGCCAAATAAGCGACCAACCCCTACTGCCATCTGCATGTACAGCCTCGGGCTGCCCGACACGGGATCCGAGGCGGAGTTGGTGTTGATGCAGGCATGGAATGTCATCGGCGTCACTCGTTACTCTTACTTCGTGGCTTGCGGTTGGGTTGGGGGAGCCGCAACACTACCTTAGTGGAAGGTTTCTAGAACGAACCTTAGGTAATCTGGTTCGAAGGCTATCTCAGCGCTAAACGAGCTAAGAAAGCTAAGTTAGAGGCACACGAGGTGGCGGAGCTTGACTCGACAATGTCGTTCGTTTGCAAGGTAGGCCATTCGAGGCTACCCTACATCAAACATCAGGTCTACTCTGGAAATGCGTCTCGCAAAGACAGTCATCCTCGAACCGAAACAAAACATTCTTATCTAGCCGATGTAGAATCATGACGAGAGATTAGTTGAAGGTTCAGAACTAGATTGTTGACGTGGGTCTGCTATTAGATATCACACAATATGGTGCGCCTTGGCAACCATATCGGGAGCTTGGTGTAGGTAAGACGCGACTGAGGTCCGAGCCAGCCACATTGTATCTATCATATCAAGCTAAAAGTCAATTGATACGATACTCACCGTATAGTCGCGGTGCCCAACACGAGGAGAAAGAATGACCTGCATCTATGGCGTGCCGCAGTCGGATCTCGACTTATCTTGATGTCGTCACCTACCTCGGCTCGGTCATGGTCCACGATGGGATTCACTTATCTGGCTCGAGTCAGCACCTGGATGCCTGCTCACCGCCAAGACCCAAACCTGGATATATATCATATTATAAAAGCTAGAGTCAGCCCGACCGGGTCCGTTTGCCTCCCAAAAAGACGACAGCCAGGTCCGGTCGGCGGCGCGTGGCGTTTTCCGATCGCGAGCACTGGAGCGAGCGCGAAGGCCGTATCTGTGTCCCGGTCCACCTGGAATGTAAGACTGACATTGCCTGCCGCCCCCGGGGCTCTCGCAAGCTGCGCCACGGCGATGAGTCCGTCCGGGGAGGTACGTGACTGGTCAGCTGACCAGAGGCTGGGCACGTGATAGCGCGTGCACGGACTGAATTGGGGGACAGCCAAGAACACTGGAGAGGAACTAGCAGGGGGTTCAAACCGTCCATTGGTTACAGGGGACAAGAAAGGTGGGGTCATAGTGCTCTGTTTTCTGTCATGGAGAAGGGGACAATGGGCTTCTTTCGTTTTCGTTTGCATGCCGGCAAAGGTTGGGCTGCTATTGGCGCAGGCCGGTGGACTTATCTCTGGCACCTACCTAGGCTCTGTATTGGAAGGAGCCGAAATCCTAACCGGGCGTATACGTAAGTCGATCCGCTATATCGGCAGGATCTAAGTAGTTACGTCGTGTCGAGTATCAGTAGCACGTATGCGTAATGTAGGCAGTCTGGCGTGATTGGGGTTCCCCAGCCGGGTGTTTCTCGGTGTCTGCCACCCTTCTGACCTCATGGCTCACGGCTCGCGTCGAAGATCAGAGGAGGCGAGACGAAAGGGACAAAAGATAGGCGCGTGGGCAGCAATTTTTTCCTGCATCCTCCGCTGTTTTCCCTATTCTATCGCAGTGCATATGCAGCGCGGACGCCCAAGATAGGATCGCAGGCCGGCGATTGGCAGCGCCGGGCCCCCATGGAAAGCCCAAGGTTGCACTGATGCACACATTATTACTATGACTAATGGGCCCGGTCTAGTCGCGAGTAGCGGCTTTTACAACCCCCGGAGGCAAGCATGAAGGTGGTAGCGATATGATGTAGGGCCATGATTGGGCGACTCTGCGTTTAAGCTTAGGCGGTTTAACCTTAAAAAATGATGCCTTCGATTTTCCCTCCAGGCTTCCCCTCACTTCGCGCTGCACCAGGACAGGAGGGGAAAGGACGCAGAAAAAAAGAAACAACAAGAGGAGTCATTCTGAGACACGCGCATGCAGACGAAATCTTCCCTGCCGGTGAGCGGCCGCGACGGGGGAAAACGGAAGCAGGAGAGAAGTTGGAATGGGCGACAGCGCTGGATGGGCCGCTCATTTGCTGAGGGCTTGCGCGCGTGCAGAGTTTTTGTTTGGGTCGTCATCAATGCGTTTCTGAAGCTTAGAGAGAACCCATCGCCAAGACACTGACAAGCCTTGGCGTCGTATTTCCCACCACCACTAAATCCTCACCAGGGCACAGTGCGCCCCGTACTGGCTGGTTGAGCCTCAGTGGAGAGCTGGAGCGTGTGGGAGCAGAGACAAGAGCCAGAGACAAGAGCAGCGATCAGGTCCAGGTCCAGGCCCCAGGCACTGGCCAATGTCCAAGACAGAATCCCAGGCCCCCAAAAGACGTTGTAGCACGCACAGGAGTTCCCGAGCCATCGCCAAGGCAGAGTGCATGGATAGCATGCCAGGGGAGATGAAGCTGTGCCGGCCAAGAAGTGTCAAGCCGGCTCCCATTCTGGTCATTCGGATGCGCACCGGCAACAGGGAGATGGAGAAGAAAAAAATTCAATGGAGTTGAAGCCCGGATCTGGCCTTCGTCATCAGCAGGGGCCAGGCCGAAATTTTTCTGCCGCCTTTGTTGATGTGTCCCGTGCCGTAGTGTAGCATTGTGAGATATGAGGAAAGAGACAAGGACACATGGCAGTCTGCCGCATCCTCCCCATACCCGCGTTCGGAGAAGAGGCGAGCCCGAGTCACTGGGCACATGACGGGCGCATCTCGACTTCGTGGAGGTAAACGGGATTGGCGATAACAATGTGAAACAGGGTGACAAGGGGGACAATGGAATGACATAGAGTTGAAGGCATCCCCAGGTAGTCCATCTTAGATTAATTGGGCTAGCTATGCAGACATGGTACGATCTCCACGAGCCAAGCGATCGCCCGGTTGCGAGGTCGATAAGGTCGGCAGGCAGAATGATGTCGATTGGATGCAGCTTTGTGGGAGAATGGAAGAGCGACTATTGAGTGATAGCCAGTTATCCAACCATCCACCCTCCCATCCCATGCCGTAATCTACCAAAGCTTCCCTCGTGTGTCAACACTCGCGTCAACGGTGGGGGGAATATGTGGTGCCATGCTATAGCAGGCAGCTGCTGCGTATAGCTCAATTGCGCACATCAATGATACTCAAGGGTTGCAATTGGGATGGAGAAAGCCACAGACGTAGCACAGGCAGAGGGGAGAGGGGAGATGATGTCATGTTGGCTGGCCGCGATGTGGTGCAGGGCCTGGAGCCTGCTGAGGCCGGTGGAGAGACGCTGCTTGCAGTGGAGGGAGGCTGGATGCAACCCCTGCGGAACGCTGGAGGAGCGCTGAGCCGTCCCAAGATACAGGGCAGGGCAGGTGGGGGACAGTGCGACTAAGGCCAGCAGCCATGGAACTGGCCTGGGGCACGTTCTGAACTCCAGGCGTTCCCAGCACTGCCAAGCCCCCGCCGCAGCGCTACAGCCACTGGACAGCAGCGCACCTGGGCAGTTCTCACCACACGCACCCACTAACTGCTAGGGGTGCCCTAGGCCTGTAGGCTCGCAGCTTGAGGGATGGATCGCTAGAACAAGGTGTGGAGGGGTCGCCACTCAAGTGGGAAGATCCCTGCCACTGGCGCTAATAAGTGGCTCAGTGGGGCTGGGCTAAAGGGCTTGGCGCAGGGTGCTATTGTGACAGCCAAACCCGCTGCGTAGACGGACTGTTTTCTGTCCCCTCTGTTGGGTGAAATTCCAAAGGCAAATAGAGGAATCAATCGCTGCCATGCACTGCGTCGGCAAGGGCCCCATGTGCGAGCCCGAAGCCGGTCCAGCGTCGTCATTGTCACCATGGACAAGCTCCGTGGGCGACGGCAGGCGCACCTGCCAAGTACTTATACCTGCCCTTTCCCCCACAACCGGTCCAGACCTGTTTCTTGATCTTCTCTCTTCTCCAACAAGGTTCAATCCACTCTCTTTCTTCCAAGGCGCCAAGCTTACATCTTGGTCCTCGAAGTCTTGCCTGTACGACCGTTTCAGGAAGAACCGCATTGCCCGGTTCTCCTCCCGGACCTCCTCCAGGCCCGTATATATTCGTCTATGAAGCACTCAATCATCAGCATTGCCAACGCTTCTCCCTCCATTGCAATTGAGCAGCGAACCCCCTCCTACCGCCATCATGCCGAAGTCTCAGACGGTGATAACGGCTGAGTACCCCAAGCATCCCTTCTTGCTCACTGTCGAGGAGACCGCGCAGGCCCTCAACACCGACATCGACAAGGGTCTGACGACAGCTCAGGTCAATGAGCTGCACTCCAAATACCCTCCAAATGAGCTCGATGTAGGGGGCACCGTGCCCTGGTATAAGATTTTTGCGAAGCAGCTCTTCAATGCTATGATTCTGGTAAGCTTCCGCCACTCCAACTTACGTCCGGGCCGGCGCTGTCCTCGACTGCGCCTCCCGGCACATGTACGCCATTGAGAACGTTTGAGCTAACATGGAGATGTCTCACAGGTTCTTGTCTTTGCCATGGGTCTTAGTTTTGGTATCAAGGATTACATTGAGGGTGGTGTGCTTGTTTTCGTCATCGTCCTCAATGTGACCATTGGTTTTTGGCAAGAGTACCGCGCTGAGAAGCGCATGGATGCTCTCCGCGCCCTCTCCTCTCCCAGTGCTATGGTCTTGCGCGATGGCAAGACTCAAGTTATTTCTAAGTAAGTGTTACCGATCAAGGCAATTGACACCTAAGACTGTTTATTTGCCTACTGCTGTTGACGAATTGCGACTAATCCATCTTCCGTTTATAGCCCCGAAGTCGTTCCCGGAGATATCGTTCTGCTGAAGATGGGTGACACCGTCCCCGCAGATATGCGCATGTTCGAAGCTATGAACCTTGCCTGCGAGGAAGGCCAACTGACCGGCGAGTCGATCCCCGTCGAGAAGGTAACGGACAATAGCATTCTCGTCCCTGGCTCCGAGAACCTTGCTACTGAGGAAGGGGAGGTCGGTATTGGTGATCGAGTCAACATGGCATATGCCACCACTGTTGTCCGAAAGGGCCGTGGCCGTGGTATTGTTACCTTCACCGGCATGTCCACGGAGGTCGGCAAGATCGCCGCTTCAACCTCCAAGAAGACCCGCAAGGCTGGCCGCTCTATGAACTATAAGAAGTATGGTAAGCGCCAGCCCGTCATTGGTTTGTCCAAGCGTATTTACGATGCTGTCGGCAAGTTCCTTGGTCTCACTGAGGGCACTCCTCTCCAGCGAAAGCTTGCAGCCCTTGCCTATGTCCTTTTTGGCTGCGCCTGTCTGCTCGCCATTGTCGTGTTTGGTGTCAATAAGTTCAACATGCGCAACGAAGTCATCATTTATGCGACTTCTCTGGGTATTGCCATCATCCCTGAATCGCTTGTTGCCGTCTTGACCATCACCATGGTCGTTGCCGTTACGGTCATGCGCAAGGCCAACGTCGTTGTCCGAGATTTGTCTGCCCTTGAGGCTCTCGGCGGTGTTACCAACATTTGCTCCGATAAGACAGGCACTCTCACCGAAGGCGCTATGATTGTCCGCCAGACGTGGATTCCCGGTAACCATCTGTATACTGTTCATGACTCTCAGAGCCCCAACGACCCCACCAAAGGACGTGTCACGTACTCTCAGGCTAAGAACGAACCTGTTGCCCCCAAGGAAGAGGAGAAGCGCGACTATGACCAAGAGCGTAGCGCCGCTGTCCTGAAATTCGATGTTCCCGATGAGAAGCTCAACCCCTCGAGGAAGCCCGAGCCTGAACCTGAGATGGCTGTCGAAATGACCGATGCTCTCCGTGCCTTCCTTTTATCGTCTGCTCTGTGCAACCTGGCTACCGTCAGATTCGACGAGGAAGAAGAGAGGTGGCAAACAACTGGCGAGCCCACTGAAATCGCGCTCCAGGTCTTCACCCATCGCTTCAAATCTGGCAAGAAGACCCTCGAGGGCAAGGGCTGGTCTCAGGTTGCTGAGTTCCCCTTCGACAGCGGCATTAAGCGCATGTCTGTCATCTACAATGCCCCTGAGGGAGAGAGCGGTTCCATCATTGAACAGAACAACAGCATGGTGTTCACAAAAGGTGCTGTTGAGCGTGTACTTGACCTTTGCGACTACATGGGCACCGGCGAGGCTCAACAGCCTGTGACTGACGAGCTCAAGGAGACCGTCCTCAGACAAATGAATGCTCTTGCTTCACAGGGGCAGCGTGTTCTTGCCATTGCCTACCGCCCTTGGGACGGCCGATATGAGGCTAAGCCCACATCCTCTGCCTCTGAGGAGGAGAAGATCCGTGGTGATGTTGAGAAGGGCCTAATTCTTCTTGGTCTTGCTGGAATTTACGATCCCCCCCGCCGAGAGACGAAGCCCTCGATTGCTGAGTGTTCCAACGCTGGTATCAAAGTTCACATGCTTACTGGTGATCACCCGGAGACTGCCAAGGCCATTGCCAAGGAAGTCGGTATCATCCCTAAGAACCTTGGTGTTCTCCCTGCCCAGGTTGCTGAGTCCATTGTCCAAAAGGCTACCGAGTTTGACAAGATGTCTGATGATGAGATTGATGCCCTTGAAGAACTTCCTCTTGTCATTGCTCGATGCGCTCCCGACACTAAGACCCGCATGATCGAGGCTCTCCGTCGTCGCGGTGCTTTCATGGCTATGACTGGCGATGGTGTTAACGATGCCCCCTCTCTGTCTCGTGCTGATGTGGGTATTGCTATGGGTTCCGGTTCCGATGTCGCCAAATCTGCTGCCAAGATCGTGCTCACTGACGATAAGTTCAACTCGATTGTTGCTGCTATTCGTGAGGGTCGCCGCATGTTCGACAACATCCAGAAATTCGTCTTGCATCTGCTGACCTCCAACGTCGGTGAGGTTATTCTGCTTGTTGCTGGCCTTGGCTTCACTGACCGCGATGGCTTCTCTGTGTTTCCCGTCTCTCCTCTCCAGATTATTTGGATCAACATGGCTACATCTTCCTTCCCTGCCTTTGGTCTTGGTCGTGAGCAGGCCGCCCGTGATGTCATGCGCAAGCCCCCTCAGGATAAGAAGCGTGGTGTCTTCACTAACCAAATCATCGTTGATATGATTGTTTATGGTGTCATCATGGGTGCTTGCACCATGGTTACATTCTGCATTATCATTTACGGTGCCAATGGTGGCAACCTGGGTACTGGCTGCAACCAAAAGTACAACGACTCTTGTGACGCTGTCTTCCGCGCCCGTGCTGCCACTTTTGCCGAGCTTACCTGGTTGATTCTCATCTCTGCCTGGGAGTTCAAGTCTCTGCGACGATCAATGTTCCGTCTCCACCCCGATGATGACAGCACCTTCCCCTTCTTCAAGGACATCTACGAGAACCGCTTCCTGTTCTGGTCCGTCATTGTTGGTGGCCTCTCCGTCTTCCCTGTCGTTTACATCCCCTACCTCAACACCGACTTCTTCAAGCACAAGGGCATCACTTGGGAGTGGGCTCTTGCTGTTGGTTTCACTCTTGTCTTCGTCGCCGGTATCGAGGCCTGGAAGTTCGTCAAGCGCCAGTTCCATATCCTGGAGGACCTCCCTGTCAACCGTGGCCACTGGGGCCAGGGCAGCAACGCCGACGACGAGACGGGCACTAAGTTCCGCAAGACCATGTCCATGTCCAGCTTCAAGACGTGGGCCTCCTTCTCCCGCAGGGACACTGGAGAGTCATTCGGACGTGCAAGCACCAAGGTGGGAAGAACAAGCACCAACCACGTCAGCACTGGCGGTATTGTGGGCGGTGCGCAGGCCATTGCCCAGCAACAGCAGAAAGAGGAGGTTTAATCTGGCGGCATGTTTTTGGATATATCCGAGAGGATTTTTTGTTGAGATTTATTAATGATTTTTACGGCCGTATTTTTTGCTCATGATATTAGAAACAGAAAACAACATGATCTGGCTAGTAAAACCAGATCTGGCGTCTCAGAGATGCGAATATACGATACCACTGTAGTGGTAGGTTCTTGATGAGGTTGGATAAGTCCATCAAGTTGGTGAGAACGGCATAGTCGAAGAAATCAAAAGTTATCACAAAACCAAGATGGGACCGCGTGAGACTGATAAACCGTAATAATCGCCAACTGCTTCATCGAGTCTTGGTGGCCTTCATTAATATGAATGAAACCGTACTATTGCCACGATGTACATCTGCAAACATAGATAGCATCACAAGTTTCATTTCCTCTGTTCCTAAGATACAACCAGTTACTTTATCCTGAACTCCACGCCTAAATCTCACTAGATCCCGTATATATCATCAAACATATTTAATGAAGCCAGGTCGCAAACAGTCATCACAAAGCCAACATCAAAACGGCAAAGCAGCCTGCAGCAACCACGGCCAGATCGCCATGTCTGGACCGAGACGCCGCAGCAGACTCGTCACTCTGTGGATCAAGGCCGGTGGCGCTCGACCCGAGATACCACGAACCAATATCAGTCAGCTGGCCGGCCTTGTTGAGGAACACGGCGTTGGGGCCCACGTTGGACTTGTCGGAGCGGAAGGCGCCGAAGTAGGTGTACCGGCCGATGTAGTCCTCCGAGTCGAAGAACGCGACGGACTTGTTGTAGAAGGACTGGGTGGCGGCGAGGTCTTTATTCGCGTATGCGTACTCGGTGATCCAGATCTCGGCATCGGGCCAGCTATGCCAGTGTTAGCACAATTTTATGATTTTCGGATAAACTGATGATCTGGTTTTGACGACTTACGTAGCTCTGCGCTCGGCAATGTGCGACGACAGCCCCTCGAAGTTGTCGTACCAATGCACGGGGAGGAAGTCCCACGTGCAGTTCTTCGTCGCGCCGCCGGTGCTGACGAGCTGGGAGCAGTTACCGAGGAACTGCTTGAGCCAGGGGAGACCGTCCCAGCCGCCGGTGCACGCGGGGAGGCCGAGCTTGACTCCCAGCTCGGCGAGAGGCTCGAAGTTGGCGACCCAGGCCTTGGCGGCGTCCTCGGGGACGATATTGCTGCCGCCTGAGCCGGCCGTGCCGTCCGGCTCGTTGAAGCCGAGGACGTGGGTGATGTTGGTGCCGCTGTCGATGAGGGCGCGGACCTCGTCGAGGAATCTCGTGTCGTTGAGGTTGTTGGCGTCGACGCCCCACATCATGGGGACGAACTCGAGCTGCTCCTGGGAGAGGTTCGAGTAGGCGGGCGAGGGGCGCGAGTCGTAGTTGTAGTACCAGCTGAGGGACGTGCCGGCCCTGACCCAGATCTTGTTGTCTTCGGGGTGGTTTGGTTCGGGGACGAAGCAGAGGCCGCGCTTGTCGGAGCTGGCGGCTTGGGCGGCGGCGAGCAGGCCCAGCACGACGAGGAGGGAATTGGCCATGTCGGCTTGGTGTCGTTGACGGTATTGGAATTGCGCTCGATAGTTTTGGGACGGTTAGATTGCCTGCCTTCGTTCTCTTGGTCAATACCAAAGTCCCGCAGTCAGTTCATGTCCTGGACTCCTGGGCGCCAAGACTTCCTCGGGAAAGGAGCGACAATGGATGCGGAAAATACGTCAATGGAAACAAACACAGTCAAGCATGGCACGGGGAGAGTTGGAAAGACACGATCACCATCGAAGGGAACGAAATTGCGAAATGCAGGCGGCGCGGAACGAAAGCAGCCGCCCGCAGATTCCGCTGAATCCTCTATCAAGAAGGCACATCGAACACGAAGTTTTTCTTGGCTTTGGATGTAACCGTGGACAGGGATATATAATCTCACTGGCGGTTAGGATGGCGGGCATCCCCACAGGTTGACAGGCATGGCACACATGGCCAGACTCCTCGTAGATTGAACAAAGAGCCGTTGTAGTCGCACCGCCAAGTGACCATCAATGCTTGTCGGTTCGTTCATGCTCTATTGGATGGGGCAGTTTGGGTAATGGACCTGTTGTTTGTTTAATGGAGAGGACTGGAGCCGATGATGGAGCATTTAATGGGTCCAAGCAGGGCGGTGGAAAGAGGTGGAAAGAGGTGGGACGGGGATGTTGAGCAGAGTGCTCCAGTTCGTCAAAGTCAATTGAACTCATCTCATGGCTGGGTTCAGACGATTGGCCCATTAATAGGCAGTAAGCATCCATGAAGTGGCCATGACTGATGGATGGTGCTTGTCTGAGGTGAAGTTGCAGCTTCTAGAAGATCTCCATCTAGATCTTGGTGGACCATGATTACATAATGGGCAGACCGGATCAAACAGACGCCGATCTCCGAAAATGCCTCGGCACGTCGTCGGCCTCGGCCCGACCCCACAAAGTCAGGGACGGAGTGCATAGAGCCCCGGTTAGCAGAGGCAGTGACATCGGAGACAGCCTTTAAGCTACTCCGACACCTCATCTTCAGCCGGACCTCCATTTCCTGATCATCTCCCGATTCTCTACACCACACACAACCTCCTCCTCCCAAACAGGAAGACACCATGGCTGCCGAGCGTATCTCTTCCATCGTCCGCCACCTTACCCCTGGCACTCCCCTGAGCAACATGTAAGCTTCCAAGCCACCGCGGAGTAGCTTCCTCCTTGCTGCATCCAAAGTCAAAAAACATGCCATTCTGACCGTATAAACTCATACAGCCAGGCTAAGAATGCTGATGACATCGTCATTACTCTTGCCATCCGTACCCCGCTCACCAAGGCGAAGAAGGGCGGGTTCAAGGATACGAGCCTCGAGTACCTCGTGTACGCCCTCCTAAGCCAGGTCCGGGAGCGATCTGGCCTCGACCCCGCGCTTGTCGAGGACATTTGTTTGGGGAATGTAAGTTTCCATAACACGATCCTCCTTTCCTCTCTCGGAAGAGTCCACAACTGTAAAGAAGACAAACTCACGATTTGCAGGTCTCAGATGGCAAGGCTGCGTATAAGCTCCGCGCGGCCGCATTAGCCGCAGGCTTCCCCAATACGGCCGGCGCCTCGTCGCTGAACCGCTTCTGCTCGAGTGGGCTGAAGGCCATCGCGGACATCGCCCACTCCATCAGCTCCGGGTCCATCGAGGTGGGCATCGCGGCCGGCGCCGAGCTCATGTCCGTCGGCGGGGATCGCCTGGAGGCGCCCTTCGACGAGGCCGTCCTGGCCAAGAGCCAGGAGGCGGCCGACTGCATGGAGCCCATGGGCTGGACCAGCGAGAACGTGAGCCGCGACTTTGGCATCACCCGCGAGGAGATGGACAAGTTCGCCGCCGAGAGTTTCCGCAGGGCGGAGCATGCCCAGAAGGAAGGCTGGTCTGTGGACGAGATCGCCCCAATCAAGACCAAGGTCAAGGGCGCCGATGGAGAGTGGACTGAGGTGACGGTCACCAAGGATGACGGCATCAGGCCAGGTACCACCGCCGAGGGCCTGGGCAAGATCCGGGCTGCGTTCCCCCAATGGGGACCTACCACCACCGGTGGCAATGCGAGCCAGGTCACTGACGGAGGTGAGTTACTGCAATCTGGCTTCTATTGTTTGAGAGAAGAAACATCAACGTGTTTTCTTCTCATCGAGATTGAGTTTTGTTTTTGTTTACGGCCCAACCCCCGCCTTACTCTAAATCACGGATCGAGAAGCTTATTTACTAACTATGGAATCTTAAACCAGCTGCTGCTGTGCTCCTCATGAAGCGATCTACTGCCATCAAGCTTGGCCAGCCAATCATGGCAAAGTACGTCGGATCGACGGTGGCTGGTCTCGCGCCCCGTATTATGGGAATTGGCCCTAGCATCGCGATCCCCAAGCTCCTGTCTCAGCGCGGCATCACTCTGGAGGATATTGACGTGCTCGAGGTCAACGAGGCATTCGCGTCAATGGCCGTGTACTGCCGCAACAAGCTCGCCCTTGATTGGGACAAGATGAACCCGCGAGGCGGGGCCATCGCGCTGGGCCACCCCCTGGGTGCTACGGGAGCGAGACAGGTTGTCACGGGTCTGAGCGAGCTGCGCCGGACGAAGAAGAAGATGCTCCTGACCAGTATGTGTATTGGTACGGGACAGGGGATGGCAGGCTTGTTCGTGAATGAGCAGCTGTAAGGGGCTTGGAAGGGTACAGCTCCCCTGGACGTGTCGATTTGCTCAAGCAGCCCTCCTCCCAGGGGATCAGTATATTGTATGATCATGGTATAGCGATCAAGTTGAATAGTACATCATGTTTTTCCCTGTGAATACACCAGAGGCTGGCGCGTCGCGTCAACCAAACCTAGTTGTCGTGCAAGGTTAAACTCCCGAGATACGCCATAGGAAACTCTGAGATGTTACGAGCCTGCAGGAACATCTCGATCTCCCTCTCGACGTGCGGTAATTATCACGATCCCGCATATACGAAGAAAGGTCAATGGCGGAAGAAATTGATGGGCCGCAACCCCTCCTGCCACTGACGAGTTCTCGGGTATAAAGCTGGCCCTTGTTTCCCTCTAGTCGGCGGAAACAACAGCAGCATCCCCAGTCGTGAAGACATCAAACAGCAGCAGACTAGCTCAGATCTCACTGCTACTCCAACATGCGCTACTCAGTGGCTCTCCTTGCGGCGGCCGCTGCCGTTGCGGCCCATCCTATCCAGCAGGAGTATGCATTTACCCCAATGATGGACTTCGATCCTAAACCCCTTAAACCTAAAGATGATGATCGTGACCGCCTTATGTTGAGTGTAAGCTAACAGGCCTTTCCATAGATATGCGCAGGGCATGATTGCCCGCGACCCCGAAGCGGGAGATGACATTACCAATGGTCCCCTCATGGTTCGTTCACGGCATAAATACAAACAAGGCTGGCCAGTTTTGACGCTAACAAAGAAAACTTCACATACAGGCCCGAGACGACGCTTGCCCTATACCTGAGAAAAGCGAGTTTACCGTGCCTGAAGCCCGCGATCATCATGAAGACGACGAGGGTAAGCCAATCAGAGCCGCCACAAAGGAGGAGAAGGCTGCAATCAAGCAGAAGAAGAAGGATGAGACCCAGCCGAAGCAGAGCATCGAGGAGGTCAAGACTACGCTCAACGACCTCTCCGTCGAGGACGAGGACGAGGAGATTGCTCTCCGGAACAAGCTGACGGCCGAGTCCGAGGCCGAGAAGAAGGAGAAAGAGAAGAACGAGCTCAGGAAGAAGCTGACGGACGAGGCTGAGGCCGACGTCAAGGAGAAGGAGAAGCATTCCCAGGCTTCCAAGGACAATGCTGCCAAGGCCAAGGCCAAGGCTGACAGGGCCAAGGCCAGGCTTGACAAGAAGAGGCAGAAGAAGAAGGAGAAGAAGGAGCCCAAGAAACTTACCCAAGAAGAGCTAGATAAAATCTTGGAAAAGAGGGAGCCTGAGCCCGCCAAGAAGGACAAGAAGAAGAAGACCAAGGCTGAGGAAAGGGAGGAGAAGCACCAGGCCAAGGTTGAAGCGGCTGCCAAGGAAGCTGCCAAGGACGCTGCCAAGGACGTTGCCAAGAAGGGCAAGGACGACAAGTCTGAGAGGAAGTCGGAGAAGAAGACCACGGTGAAGTCCGAGGAGAAGATTGATGAGAAGAGTATCACCAAGGACAAGAGGGCCCTTTCCAAGAAGGACAAGAAGAAGAAGAAGGGGAAGAAGGGGTCTGCCAAGGAGAAGGAGACTTCCAAGGTCAAGGAGACTTCCGAGGAGAAGGTGAAGGAGAAGGAAGACAAAGACTCTGCCAAGGACAAGGAAGCCGATGACAAAAAAGACAAGGCTGAGGAGAAGGAGACTTCCAAGCTGAAGGAGACTTCTAAGGAGAAGGAGAAGGAGTCTTTCGAGGAGAAGGAAGCCGATTCCAAGAAAGACAAGAGGGAATTAGCTGCCAAGAAGAAGAAGAAGGATGATAAGGAGTCTTCCAAGGAGAAGGAGTCCGAGAAGGAGTCCGAGAAGGAGTCTGAGGATGAAGACGATGATGAGGACGAGGACGAGGACGAGGACGAGGACGGCGATGACAATGAGGAGGTCGAGGAGAAGGAGAAGGAGACTGTCAAGAAGGAGAAGTCCAAAAAGAAGAAGGGCAAGTCCGATGAGAAGGAGGACGATGACGATCTTGGCACGTTGAAGGTAAAATATCCTCCTCGCGACTTCATCTACGCCCATGAGAATCATCCTGACATGGGACACAAGTTTGTTCGTGCCGACCCTCTGAGCAACGACCATTTGCCATACGACGCCAAGGTAAGATACCCTCCTCGCAACTCTATCTGCGCCTGTAAGAACCGTTCTGACAAGAGACACAAGGTTGTCCGCGAGGATCCTCCCGACAAGGGCCGCAAGTTCATCCGCGAGGACCCTCCTGATAAGGGACGCAAATTCATCCGCGAGGACCCTCCTGACAAGGGACGCAAGTTCATCCGTGAGGATCCCCCCGATAAGGGCCGCAAGTTTATCCGCGAGGATCCCCCCGACAAGGGCCGCAAGTTCATTCGTGAAGATCCTCCTGACAAGGGCCGCAAGTTCATCCGCGAGGACCCTCCTGACAAGGGACGCAAGTTCATCCGTGAAGATCCCCCCGACAAGGGACGTAAATACGTCCGTGAGGATCCTCCTGACAAGGGCCGCAGGGTGATTCGTTCCTTTTAACTTGTGACACGATGCGAAGAAGGGGTACCCAACCCCCAGAGGGCTGGAGCCAGACAATCCTCTGGGGGTTGACCATTGAGTGAGTGTGAGAAATAGCAGCCATTTAGTTTCAACATTGCTAATATTCTTAGTCTCACCCCCGTCTCAACTCATGGCGCAGCAAGGCAAGAAAAAGCGGATGAACAGATTATCGTTGGCCGGGTGTCATAACCGAGGCGATAGATTCTGACAAATTGGGCAGCGAGGGGGACCTGGAACCTGCAGACGAGGAAGAAGAAAAACCGATGGTGTTCAAAGCGATAGAATCTATCAAGGCCATTGACCGAGGGCCAGCCGATGTCTGTGAATTTCATCAAAGGGGTTGACAGTGCGGCTATAGCCGTCTAGTGGATGTGTTCTGGAAGTAGTTGAATATGTTGAGTTCTTAATTGCCTGCATTACATGGTTTGACGTTTCACTTGGTGATGCCCTATCTTCTTTGTCTTGCCTACCAACCAAGCAGTGAGTACAGCTCGGCTCGATGACCAGTAGAACCTAAGAGCTCCAGCTGGCTGGGACTGCATCTCTTCATTGCTCCCGTTTGATCATAGACTGGGCAAACCAATGGAAGCAACAGAGCTACTCACGGGTTGGCACGCATTTTCCACCCTCACGAGGCGAACCTCATAGCCGACTGAGCATTGGATAGATGTAATTGATGCCTCGACTTGGGCAACACTTGGACAAGTACAAAACGCGGGTTCACAGCATCGTGACGAGAATGATGGCAACAAGAATATATGACCCTATACATCTCTTATTCACTAGTTTATTATCTCTATCTCTAGACTTATAGTTATTTCTTTTTTGTCTGCCAATATCTCTATTAATAAAAATAATCTATAGCCTTCTGAATTTTTGCTTTTTAAAACCTATTCAAGATTATACAAGGATAATAGTTTCCCAACTAAAACCATCCACAGGTATGACCTCTCGGTTCATCATACCGTGGACATAGCATTCACCAAGATATCGCCACTGATCCTGCCCGACTCGTCGTATCACATACGGAACAGGGCAGCCACTGACCAAAATGATACTATCGCCTCTTGAGCTGGCGCACGGGAACAATCCAATATAGCCTTTCGCCGTAATGCCAAACCTCCGACCGCTCATTGCAGCTTGAAAAGCCGAGAGGGCATTGCCATATGTGGTGCCTATGCTTTTCTCCCTGAGATGGGCTGGCGTCAGCCTTCCCCTTCCTTCCGGCAGTTGCTGCCGCTTCGTGTATGACTGGCCTGGTAAGGACGGCGTTCTTCCAGTAGTAGCATCAAAGAGAATGCTAAAAGCCTCTGCAAATGTGTGCGGAGCTGGTGCGTCTCCTGTCTCATCGACGCCAGCAACGGTCGTGAGCCAGAAGGCGTCGAAAACGGTACATGAGCCGGGATACTTCTTCAACCGGGCTGATAGATCGAGACAGGATAGCAAATCTCGATTTGATGAAGCAGCTTCCTGGTAAGATAGAGACGGGGAGAGGAAAACATTGCTTATATCGGCTATCGAGTCAACTTCATATGCCTGGATATGCAACTGGCTATTGTCAGCTGGATTTAGCTCAAAGTTAGGTTCGCTATCCCCGGACGCGCAGAACCTGTATCCTGTGTACGTGCGGCCTCCACCAAATGGTCGGGACAGACGACGCCGGTCTGGTCGCCAATCCGGAACCCAAGACGGCAGAGGCAAAGGCATTGTCATCTCGAGCTGTGAAGCTTCGACCGCTGACAGAAGTGAGTGGATTGAGCCCTCGTATTTCTGAATGGGGCTGGTCTCATCTATTGCCACATCTAAATAGAGATTTGAGAAGGTATAACCGCTGCTGTAATCTACCCGGAAAGTTCTCTCCTCCTTTTGGCTGGCCATTGCAAGCATGCCGTAGATTTTGTCACGTGGGTCACTACATAAAGCATGCTGAGTCATTTTCAGGAGAGTGAATATTCTCGCACGAATACCGGTAGGTGCCAGGTACGATGTAGAGTCCTGTTGGCTCATGAGTTGACGGAGTGCTTGGCACGTGTTCGCTGCTTCGGGTCCGTCCTCAATGAGACTCCCTAACCAGCCGATGATTCCAGCATCAACCAGTCGCCCACATCCATTAGAAACGACATCCCAGTGCAGGACATGTGGGCCACATTTTATCCACAGATTCTCAGAAAGGACGACTTCCTGGATGATCCTTAGTCTGCTAAACCATGGGCGACAAAGGAGGCTGATCAAGTCTGTCCAGAGGGAAGAATCACTGGGGGTTAGTTGAGCTTCTGTCAAACCTCCAGGGCAGCGGATTCTGTATGAGTATTGCAATCGGACGCCAAGCTCGCCCAAAATGTCAAATGAACCAGGTGTCTTGCTGTCGGCTTCCCCAAGCCACGCTACCGTGTTCATGGCGAGTCCATAGATTTTCCCCATCAGCAAGACTTGTTGTGTCTTCTCTCCCTCGTCACCCTGGTTAATGCATATTTGATCTACCCATATTAATATCGAGTCCTGGGGATGACGAAAATGCCTGAGTGCCACTTCTAGTGTCTTTGTGATGGCTTTAGTATGTCCATCACAGTCAATCGTCCCGTCGTAGACGAGTTTTCCCCACGCGTAGCTTATTGCCGTATATTCCATGGGCCTCTTCTTCCAGTACCTACGACCTGGGGTCTCATACCCAATCTCGCTTTCCATCGAGCAGTGATGGAGAGAAGCACAAAGTCCATCGTCCCAATTGCCAGGCTTCAGCTCCATGACCCGGATCTCATCTGCCCCGTTGAGGCTTTGATAAAGCTCGGCATGGGAACGCGGAGAGGCGTTCTTGAGCGTCTCATTCGGCCTCGCAAATTGTACTTTCTCCTCCGGTGCATACCAGCCTGGTAGAAAATTCCGGACCCATGTGTTATCCTCAACGGCACTCATCTGGCTGCGATGGTTTTTATTGCCACAATGTTATTTCTACCAAAATTGTAGAGATGCTAGAAGACAACCCGGGGTTGTTTTTGAGAACACCAACGAAAGGATCTTATCTGTCGATGCGCCGAAATGCGAGCCGTGGACTTGAATTGCAGGAGTGATAAATGCTTGTAGTCTGACCAGCAAGTCATATTATCGAAACCGGTCAGATGAGGGGCATCTATATATCGCTGCGTTGGTATGCTGTCGATTGCATTGACTCTTGGCGCTGTGCCATAGTAAGATTGCCGCCATGTTGTCATCATCTTGGTATAATATATTTATTCACCCGCGGCCAAAGGTACAAAAGAGCCTCCAAGGAATATTAACAGTTTCATTAAAAAAGGATACGGCACCGATGGCCTTGTCGTTAGGATCAACAGCTAGCTAGGGATATAGTATGCATTTGACAGTCCACAGTCACATACGACCATACCCATTCGAGAACACGCGATCCCGTCCGCTCTCGCCTAGTTAAACGGATGAGGGGTGGATTAGTAGTTGGGTCGGTGACGACCAGCGAATACCCGCTGTTGTATGTTTTTTTTTCTTATTTTTATTTTTGAATGTTGTTGAATTTTGCTGCTTGATATTTATGAGTATTTTCTCTGCTCTGAGGGTGTTGTGAAACTAGTTCTGCATGACCCTTGTCGTTGGGACCAACAGCGCTGAGGGGTATCAGCAGGCGCACCGCTGATGTCATTGGGTCATTTTGGATGCCGGGTGAGGTAATTGCTTTCGTATTGGTGGTATTGCTCCAGAAGCAGGTCGTCAATTTCAAAGCAACACACACCGCCGACTACGGACCTCCACAGCTGGGCCATCTGAAGCCTGTGCATGGGTAGGACAGTCGGTCAGTTGGTGCTAAGGCATACACCCTCGAACCGTGATGGGGCTTCTCCATCCAGTCGCTAGCTGCGTCACGGGTCAGGAAGCTGGACCCTGATGAGGTCAGAAAGAAACGAGAGTGCCTATGATTGTAATTGAGTTAAGGCATCGTATTGACCATCGCGCTTTTCCCTCTCCTTGCCCTCAGCTTTTGGCGACATGTTTAGCCTCCATCTCAAACGCGTCCAGCCCAATTACGTCGTAGGCAGGGTGCTAAGCTAGCGTGGAGCAGCTGTTCGCTACATCCTAGCGCAAGCTGTTATTCCCGGCTACTCGGTGAGGACTGCGGCGTGCAGCGACTGTCAGAGCAAAGGCTGGCCAGAAACATGAGATAGATGGCTTTATAGGATGAGGAGAAGGCAGGAGACACAATGATGAATACGTAACTTAAGAAATAGTAAATATCTTGAGATGCTTTGGTGATTTTGGCTGCCATTGTGCATAGCGCTTGGTTGCGGCTTCCTTTCTTTGTGCATGAGGGTACGTACCTCCTGCCTCCAGGTGACCAATGAGCCATCCTGGATGGAACGTGGGGAAGCAACGGCCCAGGGACGACCCTTCCATTCTTTCTGCTCTTCCAGCGCCGTAAATGGCCAGCCGAGACCTCTCCATCTTTTTCTTCCTCCTCCTCCTCAGCTTGTCTTGTCTCACGCCCGTCGGCTGCAAGATACAAACCCAACAAGCCACCTCAATTCGTTCCATCTTCGAATCTCCAATGAGCATGCCTTGAGCACAGAGCACCTCCAGTCCTCAGCGCGCAATTCCATCACCTCTGCCATGTTATAGGCCTCGTCGCTGACCTGCCTTGCTCTCTATGCCTTTGGGCTGTCGTCATCTGATCCCGACCGGTCCCATCATTGCATCCTCTTGCCGCGCGACCAACTGAGCCTTCCTCGACCCGACCGACTCGGTACTTGTCCGTTCGTTTGCCTCCCTCCCGCCGCCGAGATCACACACTTGTCGAATCCGTTGTCGATACAGCGCATCCCGCGTAACCATGACTGGACGTCCTGACCACCAGCGGTCGAGTTCTTACAACGGAGACTATCGTCCAAGCCAACCCAGTGGCCTCCGTCAGTCTCACCGCGTGCCTAGCATTAGCAACCAACTTTCCGAGGGTGCTGCGTCTGCCCAGGCTAGCGAGTCGACTCCGTTGATCCAGGGCCAGATCATTGAACCTTCCCACCGTCGACCAAGCATCCACCCTGCCCACGAAGGACTCTGCACTCACGGAACCTTCAGCCCAAGGGCTGAGAGTCCAACCGAGGCCTTCTTCGGAAATTGGGATGATGAGGGACCGACATCCGACCCCAATAACAAAAACTCGGATTCAGACTCGTCTCTGCCCAATTTCACCCCATCCGACGATTGGCACAGATGGCTGAGGAGGCGGATCAAGACGAGGAAGATGGGCCAGAGTAGTGAGCTGGCTCAGCAAGCTGGGATTCGAGATACCCCTCTCATGTACGTGTGTTCCTCGTCGGCATAAGCCTAAGGATACCTTCATGGTACCCAAGCATAGCGGGAAAGAAAAGCATCATTATTCTAACAGAGCGCGCAGGTATCTGTCCTACTATGTCCCTTTCTTAACATGGATTCAGCAATACAACTGGTCGTTTTTGAAAGGCGACCTCGTCTCCGCATTGACCATGGCGTCTTTCTATTTGCCCATGGCACTCTCCTACGCCTCCAACCTAGCTCATGTTCCTCCCATCCACGGTCTCTACGCCTTCGTGTTCAATCCCTTCATATACGCCGTCTTCGGTTCCTGTCCACAGATGGTTGTTGGGCCTGAAGCCGCCGGGTCACTGCTAGTAGGCGCCGCAGTAAAGCAGAATCTTTCAGATGGTGGGGAGGACGATGACGTCCTTCACGCCCAGATTTGCGGCGTAATCACCGGACTGGCAGGCGCCATGGTCCTGATTGCTGGGCTGGTGAGGCTTGGCTTTTTGGATAGTGTGCTTAGCCGTCCCTTTCTCCGCGGCTTCATCAGCGCCATCGGTTTTGTCATCGCTGTAGACCAACTCATTCCTGAGCTTGGACTCTCCGACCTCACTGCCGGGACAGGTGTTAGCCACGGGAGCAGTGTGGACAAAATCAGATTCATTGTCGGCCATGTAGACAAGACTCATATGCCTACATTTGCTGTGGCCGCCACAAGCTTCATCATCATCATGGTCTGCCGGTATGTACACGTTGAACCCTGTTATTACGAATCAACATCGAGCCCAGTGTCCAGCTTCCATGAATTGTCCAGCTAATCAATCTCTTCTCCATCTACAGCGAAGGCAAGAAGTATCTTCAGCCCCGTTATCCTTCTGTCGTGTTCTTCCCTGACCGGTTTATCGTTGTCGTTGTGTCTGCGGTGCTCTGTTGGAGATATCAATGGCATGATCATGGGGTTGAAATTCTCGGTGAAATCAAGACTGCCAGCGGAGGCTTGTTTGCTTTCCAGTGGCCATTCCAGCCAGCGCTAATGGGCCATATTCGCGCAGGAATGACCAACTCTTTTCTCATTGCTCTCCTCGGCTTCTTCGAATCTTCCGTGGCTGCCAAGAGCTTGGGTGGAAGCAAAACTATTCAAGGCATGCAGCTCAGTGCGAATCGTGAACTGATTGCTCTCGGAGTTGCCAACTTTGTGGGCGGATGCTTTTCCAGCATTCCGGCATTTGGAGGTTACGGCAGGAGCAAGGTGAACCAACAGACTGGCGGCAAGAGCCCGATGAGCTCCGTGTTCCTCAGTATCATCACGCTTTTATGCATCTTGTTCTTGCTACCTTACTTCTATTATCTTCCTGTTCGTACCATCCAATTCTTTCCTTTCTCCTTCCCTCGCCGTTTCTTTTACCCCAGTCTCGAAGCCACAAGTTACTAACAAGCCCATAGAAACCTGTCCTTTCTGCTATGATTTCGGTTGTGGCATTCTCTCTCGTAGAAGAAGCGCCACACGATATTGCCTTCTTCGTCCGCATTCGTGGGTGGGCAGAACTAGGGTTGATGGCTATGATCTTCCTTGCCACAATATTCTATTCGTTGACATTCGGTATGGCTCTCGGAGTCGGTGTGTCGCTTCTCATGGTGATCAGACACAGCACGCGTCCCAGGATACAGATCTTGGGCCGCATTCCCGGGACCCATCGCTTTGAAAACGCCGAGTCGGCAAACGCAAACGTGGAGTTTGTCGAAGGCTCCCTGATTGTCAAGATCCCCGAGCCACTGACGTTTGCCAATACTGGCGAACTGAAGGCACGATTACGGAGGCTGGAGATGTATGGGACTTCTTCGGCGCACCCAGCCCTCCCCGCCTTACGCAACACGGACGCAAACAGGAACATCATCTTTGACATCCATGGTGTGACGTCGATCGACGGCTCTGGGACTCAGGTTCTAACCGAGATCGTCTCCGACTACAGGGCACGAGGCGTGCGAGTATTCTTCTCGAGAGGGCCAGCACCTGGAGGGAACAGCCCGGTGTGGAGGCTAATGGAAAACAGCGGGATTGTCGAGATGTGTGGCGGCCCGAGCCACTTTGTCAACGACGTGGAGGAGGCCCTGAGGCGGACAGAGTATGAAGAGAGCATCTTAACGACTGAGTAGATATGTGCACATTCGTTAATGATCAAACGATATAGCAATCACAATCATGACGAAGAGAAGGGAGAAATAGGGTGAGCAGTCATTCTCTTTTCCAGCTCTAGGTTTACCGCACGGACGGGCCACATTGCAACCTGTCAGGGGGATTTGACGATAGAACATACTGCATTTAGAGCTGATTCAGGTTGATATTTAGCGGCTTCCTAAGCATTTTGAATAAAGAATAAGTCTTTGAGTATAGAGATCACATCCAGAAGAATAGGATTGGCAGGACGCCGTGCAGTGTTGGAAGCTTGGGTAACAAAGGGGTCGGGATCTCTATTCTACCTACCTGCCTCAGCAAGCGTCCTGCATCCAGCCACCAACCGCCATCTTGTTTTGCCTTCCGAAGTCTTGCTGTCTGTATACGATATCTATCCTGTCGGCGTGCGCTGTGAACCCAATGGCCTGCTCGCCAAGACGGTATCGGCTTCCCAAGGACGAGAATGATCTCCCACGTACCGACCTACTCACTTGCTCATCTGCAAGACCTGGAGGGAAAGCTTCCTACCATTTCCCGCTACAATCGCGTCCGTGGCCGGCCGGCCGCAGACAGAACGGCGATGGCCTTTGTGATGATGTTCATAGTGCCGAGACACTACAGAGTCTAGTCCCTGGCGATATGTCGGCGCAATCCTATATGATGAATGGCGTAGTAGCGGCCAGTGAGGTGAGGCGTCATGGACTATGCAACCTGTCAAAACGTTATGGGTTAGGATGGGAGACATGGGTGACTGACTGGCTGGCCTGGTGGAGGGGGCTGGTTAGGGGTGAAGGGGGCTTCATGTTCGAACGCCTTGGGAGCAATCGGTTCGCAGCGGCGGATCGGCCATTGCCAGGTTCGCCCGAGACATGCCGTTTGGGCACGTATGCTATCACAGCCGCCTCAGGCAAGAGCAAGAGTTCTCGCCCGGGACGTGATAGATGGACTGACACGGGTGGGTGCTCAGCCGGGGCCTGGCCAAGGCTGCACGCACCCGGGGGGGCGGGCTGCGGGAGGATGCTAGGGGTGGGCGCATGGAGAGATGATGATGAGCTTCTCTTGCTCGTTCCTTTGCTCCTTGCAAGCCCGGGATGTGATGGTTCTGAGGGGGGGCCTTGGGCCTGCCTGTCAAAGATCCCCCATGTCTTAGCAAGGGGGTGAGTGACGGACGGGCAAGACAAGGCCAGTACATTAGGGTGGGTAGAGAGCAGGCAGACGAAGCCTGCCTGCTGCGTAGGTAGATGTACGTAAGTCCTCGCCCGGGTCCCCCTTGCTCGCCCTCTTCCGGACCGTACCCTGTCCAGAGGGCCGTAGGGGACTTTTTTTATTTATTTTAAAATTGTTCTTTTTCTCCGTCGCGTCCTGTCAACCGGGGTGCTGATCCGCGCTGCGAACATGCCTGATGATGTTGGATGAACCACCCTCGCGGGCGAACCATTGCATCCATCTCGGTCTAGTGCGTGCATATCAGATGTACACAACGTAGATGAAGGAGTTGTTCATGTTTCAACGAGACGCTGTTGGCCTTCTTCTTTCTTAAATGGCTGCCTAATGTACCTTTGCTTTTTTTTCTTGGCCGTTTTTTCTACACATCACCCTCCCACCTCTCGGCGATAAAGTAGATCAACACAACGCGCACGCACACACATACGGATCAGGGAAAACTTGGTTTCTGCTACTCGCGCCCCCCCCTTGTTGTGCTGAAAAGGACTTTGCCCTAGCTGCTTCAGTAGAGAGGGTTGGGAGGGGGGGGCCTGACCGCCGTACAGTACATTGCAGCCAGCCTTGTCCCACCCAACAATGCAGGGGAGGGGGCCCCGGGGTCGATCTACTAGTGGCAGGGAAGCGCGTAGCTCTGCTCTAGGCAGAGAGGTAAATGATTGCTTGGCCGGGGGGGAGAACGGTGGAGGAAACAAGGACGGCACATGGGATCATCCTCCTCCCAGAAGGTAAGGGTACATTTCAGAGGAACTGCGCTGGATGTTGTTGGGGGGAGGGCCCTCGGTGCTGGTACAGCAGGAAGGCGGGTATTTTGATGTGATACTGCATATTTCTCACAGACAGAAGAAGAAAAAAAGGTAGCCGGTGCGGTGCAGCAGCCCGTGGACCGACCGCCCTTCCAGATGTATGTACCTTTTTTTTCCTTCCCCCAACCCGACAATCAGAGATCCTTCGAGGGCACAGGAGTTGACTCTCCTCAGATGTCGGGCCATGTCGCCCCCAAATCGCCGGTAAGGACAACAACCGCCGATGTTGATTTTCCCCCGTGGATTAGACTAAGGGTGATGGAGGAGGGGCGTGGGAGACGTGGATTGAGACGGCGGTGGAAGCAAGAGAGAAGGAACAAGGTACGTCTACAGCGGATCTCTTGGCGGGAGTGAAGGGGGGGAGGAGAGGAAAGCAAAAGGAAAGGGAGGGGAGGGGGGGGGTGGGTGCTTTGCATGATGCGGCTAGTGCTCCTCCGTTCCGTTTGGTGGAGGCGCTGGGCGGCGCGGTCTATTTGGCCATGGATCTCATTTTCTACTGCGTGTGCCGTGTGTGGACTTTTTGATTTCCCGTTTCGCGAAAGCATCGAGAAAAGGTGGCGTTTCTTAAAGCCTCTTGGCTGTTTGGGGCGCGAGGGTGACGGACCAACCAGAGCGAGAGGGGAGGATGGTCATCTGGATGGCTTTGCTTTTTCCTGCCGTTCTGCGAGAAAGGCTGGCGGCTCCGTGACCATCTCATAGGTAGAGATGATGGGGAATGGGCGTTGGGCGTTTGGGAAATAGGCTGAGCTGAGAAGATCATACGATATGGGCTGGGGAAACATGATAAACTAGAGCTCGCGTGAGAGAAGACGACGGTGGTAACTTTTGAGCCAGGGTGGCTCATTGGTTTGTGAGGTTTGTCTATTCCGATATAGGTATATCCCTAGGAAGCCACACAGTTCTAGCTGAAAGTACTGCGGAAACAAACTGGTCAGGAAGATGTCGGTCAAGCCTTGTTCGTCGGTGAAATTGACAGATGGGTTCCCACACGCTACTGCGAATTATATGGCTGACAGTTGCTTCTCAATCTGGCTGCTCGTGATTCCAGGATAGGCCTGGCCGCCTTTCATGGCTGGTTTAACGAAGCGGCGTGATATCAATCACAGAGGGGAGGCTCAAGACCTGGAGACTTACTCTTCGTGTGTGTGGATCTACATCAGCTCCTCCAGGCTTCATCAAATCATGGGCCAACTCGGGGTATGTCGAGACAGTGGGAATGCCCGAGTCACAGTGGGCGGCAGATGTATCACTCCAGTCCAGCCGAGGTGGCCAGGGCTAGACATTTCCTCTTCACATCAACGATGCCCGGGTGACACTCTCAGCATGGCCGGGCTTGCTGGATCAGCGCCCCCGCCTTACGTTTTTGCGCCATAAAACACGCGTGCGACCAAGTCTCATGATTGTCGGTTTGGGCTTACGTCGTCAATCAGAAGGTGAAGACCGCCCTGCCACTCCGCGCTCATGACGGATCTCTGCCCGTCAAGACCTCTTCCGACAGCTATGCCCACCGTAGATCACTACAGGTCACCAATTGGCAATTGAAAAGTGTGATGCTGCTGGGCCTTTTGTCCCCGATCACACTGGAACGGTGAGTCAAGAAGGTCCGCCTGGTAGCTACGCCGTGCTCAACCCTGGCCCTGCAGAAGGTTGGTTAGATGAGCTTGAATCGAGTCGATTTGCGTGCTTGGACCGATCAAAGGCTTTCTTCCCCGACCGGGGCTCCTGCACGCGCGGGATTGGGGATGTATCAGTAACTTGTCCATTCCTGCTTTGCTTACCGAGAACTCCGGCATGGATGGTCGGGAAGCCCCAATGCAGCGCCAGTGCCGCCAAACGGTATCCGCAGAGAGCCAGCGGTTCAAAGGATCAACAAGGAATCATCGAGGCAAGTTCTGCTGCACAACAATACACGGCCTGCGTGCCGCAAGTGGGCACGGCATATCTGGCCCACAGAGGTGTTATGTTCATGCCAGCGTAATCATTTGTACCGTACCCAGATCCGCGACTCCGGTCGCTTGCTTTTGGGGTTGCGCATGCAGGATTGCTGCGTTCTCAGCAGAATCTCGGAGTAAGCACTGCATCCATATCGGCCAGGTCCCCAGCCGTTGCATAGGCTCACGACAGCCAATTTCGTGGTAGGCTTCTCTCGTCCTAGGGCAATGATAATTGAGTCTCTGTAACCAATGGGGGGGCTGTTAGTCACCTTTTCATGAGGCCTTTGGGTGATATGTGACACAAATGATGTGGGCGCATTCCAGAAGCGTCAATGAATTACGATCTTCCTTTCTCGAGTAGATGGTAATAGATCAACGTGTTGGCATAATGCCTTCAGGTGAGGAAAAAAAAAAAAGCACATATAATTGAATGTTTGGCCATGAAGCAGTCTTGTGTGAGACTGATAAGGGATATCCGCATACAACTGACCTGGTAAAAAAGCAGTCAATGACTGTTTCAAGCGCGTGTCGCGTCTTATCGCGTACTCAGTGCTCAATCCGCTGGCTCCGGGAAAGACAATTTTCCCAAAATGTAGATGAAACACCAGCCGTGTACACCGTACACTGTTAACGATAGCAGAAGCCTACTCCAAAGCGCATGGAAGCCCTAATAACTCACATAACGTTAACTGGGTGGAATATTGAGCTTTACTTGCCCAGAAAGCATAAGCCCTAGATAAGGACATATTGGCATGAACGGGAAACATACCAGGGACTGGAGAGCAATGGCACACTCACATGTAATCGCAGGACGGTCTTAATCTGACACGGCTCAGCTACTTTGCTTCAAGTCGAAGCATCGGAAGCGGGAACCGGCTCCATCAATGCACGAATGAGCAAGCCATTTATTTAAGCGCTGCGTCAGTGCAGATCCGATCCAGGGCTCCCCTAACTCTCTCCTAGCACCCATGAGCTTGGTTCTGCAGGGGTTGTGCTTTGATCTCGCGCCTGGGCCTCCTA